TTTAACTTTCCATATAGGGATACCGACATAATTTGACCCCCGATTAGTGTTATCATGAGAGATTGCTCTTTTTTAATACTGAAGGTGGTGGTGGGCACAGTTGGGTATTTAGGGGGGGGGGACAGCCAAAATGAGTGTATTCCATAAACCTCTTATTTATGTAAATAAGGCAGGACCGCTTAAGAATTTTTTTTGAGAGAAGTCACTAAGTTGTTTAAATGTTATGTTTTTGTTAAGAATTTCGACCTAAACCCCGTTATTTCATTGAAAACTCTTAAAATAGATTTTTTCAATATGCTACTCAAGGGTTTGGCGTGCTGCTGGCGCCCCTAAATCTTTTCGATATGGCTGTTGGAATATAATATATATTTAGATTATCCCGAAATAGCTGTGCTTTCTTGTGCTTTTATGTTTTTCTTCCGCAATATATCGCTGTAACAAAGACGACATCTAAATATATTGCGGGGTTACAGGATCCATTCAAGGATTAATATATGAACGGAAAAAGTAATTATAAATTGAAATCATTATAAATCAATGCTAGCTACAATCCATACAGTATTTGTAAATGAAAAGATTATCAGAATATATTCATTGTGTCCATTCTCATCATGAAACACGAGACAAATGCATTTTCAGAGGAGAATTGTGACAAAAACCAGTCACACCCCCCTGACCCCCTAAAATATAAAATGTATAAGACAATTTAGTTGTACATGTTTTTATTAAATAGTTTTACAAGCTACAATTATTATATACGTTTCTCCAAAGAAAAGATATGTTTAATTAAGTTTAAAGTTTGTAATTTATGTGCTGCTTATTAAATTTGGTTCATGATTTTTCTTACAAAAAGTTTATAAAAAAGAAGAAGACACCAGAGTTCAGAGACAACTTGGATGTATGGATTTATTCAGTCATTTTCTTAAACTCCAGGTTCCCTCTAAACCTATTTTTATGCCATCTAATTTAAAAATTATATTGCAGCAACAGATCAAATTTAGCCTTTAACCTTAAATTCTATTTTGTCAAATTTTGTTAAAATGTAATTGTTGGATTAAACTAAAAAAAGGGCTAGGACAGTTCATTTCTTTGCTTTTTATCTGTATCTATCATAAATGACAATATTGTCTGAATTGACAGATTTTAAATGTTTTAAGACTAGTTCATGCATCGATTTCTCAGGGTTCTAAGTAGAAACCGTCCTTGATCCAGTCAAGATTCAGTCAAACTGCTGAATTATTTTCTAAATTACAGCTTAATAAACTCGTATTTGGAGTGTACCACTCTCAATATTTTTACTACAGTGATAACCAGAAAACTCTGGAATAGTATGACGACTTTGAGAATCAAGTTTTAACTTTAAAAAGTTCATTAACCATGAAACATAGCAATTTTGCAATTTCAGAAAAAAAGTAATTTTAGAAGTGTCTGGTTACAACTATTTGCTTTGTAACACCATCAACACTTAAGTATGGTAGGTTACTTCAAATTGCCATTGTGTAACTTAGAATTTGTACTTCTTTATTGTGTAATATTTTCCTAGATTTTCTGTCAAATTCTGTTTAAATCTAACAAATCTCATGGTCAAGAAGCAAGCATGGAAGTTAAAGAAAACGTCATTGAAATCTAGACAAATCTATCTTATCACTAAATCCTTCCTAGATATGAAAAATTATTGCACAAATTATTTTCTACCTTGATATTTCAACATCTTGATTTTTCTAGTGTTAACTCTGATTTTATACCAGAAGATACGAGTAGTAAAACATTATAATTATAGTTATTATTCTCCAAGAAAGAGAGAAACTTTAAATGCCACACACAACATCGTCTTTTAACTTGTGAATATTAGTTAACTATCTTGTATCCCTGTATTCCTTACCTCTTACAGAAAATAAATTAATTTGTGGTTTATAATCAGATCTTGGAAACATAACTAGGACAATTGATTTAATGTGGAGCGACATGGAGACCAGATTAGATTAGTCTCGTTCTACTCTCTAGCCTTCTCTTCACTTCTCCTCTTAGTCTAGCCTTCTCTTCACTTCTCCTCCTAGTCTAGCCTTCTCTTCACTTCTCCTCTTAGTCTAGCCTTCTCCTCCTAGTCTAGCCTTCTCTTTACTTCTCCTCTTAGTCTAGCCATCTCCTCCTAGTATAGCCTTCTCTTCACTTCTCTTCCTAGTCTAGCCTTCTCTTCACTTCTCCTCTTAGCCTAGCCTTCTCCTCTTAGTCTAGCCTTCTTTTCACTTCTCTTCCTAGTCTAGCCTTCTCATCACTTCTCCTCTTAGTCTAGTCTTCTCCTCCTAGTCTAGCCTTCTCTTCACTTCTCCTCCTAGTCTAGCCTTCTCTTCACTTCACCTCTTAGTCTAGCCTTCTCTTCACTTCTCCTCTTAGTCTAGCCTTCACTTCACTTCTCCTCTTAGTCTAGCCTTCTCCTCCTAGTCTAGCCTTCTCTTCGCTTCTCCTCCTAGTCTAGCCGTCTCCTCCCAGTCTAGCCTTCTCTTCACTTCTCCTCCTAGTCTAGCCTTCTCTTCACTTCTCCTCTTAGTCTAGCCTTCTCCTCCTAGTCTAGCCTTCTTTTCACTTCTCCTCCTAGTCTAGCCTTCTCGTCACTTCTCCTCCTATTCTAGCCTTCTCCTAACTTCTCCTCCTAGTCTAGACTTCTCTTCCCTTCTCCGCTTCTCCGTCTAGTCTAGCCTTCTTCTCACTTCTCCTCTTAGTCTAGCAGTCCCCTCACTTCTCCTCCTAGTCTACCCTTCTCCTCACTTCTCCTCCTAGTCTAGCCTTCTCCTCACTTCTCCTCCTAGTCTACCCTTCTCCTCACTTCTCCTCCTAGTCTAGCCAGCTCTTCCCTTCTCCTCCTAATCTAGCCATCTCCTCACTTCTCATCCTAATCAAGCCTTCTCTTCACTTCTAGTCATAATTTGGTCCGTTCTTTCACTTATCCTGATAGTCTGATCCTTCCATTCACTTCTCCTCCTAGTCTGGTCAGTCCCTTCCCTTCTCCTCCTAGTCTAGTCCTTCCCTTCCCTTCACTTATTGTTCTACTCTCTAGCCTTCACTTCACTTCTCCTACTCTAGTCCTTACCCACCCTTCACGTCTCGTCCTATTCTGATCCTTCTCCTCACTTCGTGTTCTATTCTGTTCCTTCTCTTCCCTTCTTGTTCTATTCTGATACATCCCTTCACTTCTTGTTATATTCTGTTCAATCCCTTCCTTTCTTGTTCTTTTTAGATCCTGCTCTTCCCTTCTTGTTCTACTCTGTTCCTTCCCTTCCCTTCTTGTTCTATTCTGATCCATTCCTTCACTTCTTGTTATATTCTGTTCAATCCCTTCCCTTCTTGTTCTTTTTAGATCCTGCTCTTCACTTCTTGTTCTACTCTGGTCCTTCTCTTCACTTCTTGTTATATTCTGTTCAAACCCTTCCCTTCTTGTTCTTTTTAGATCCTGCTCTTCACTTCTTGTTCTATTCTGTTCCTTCTCATAACTTCTTGTTCTATTCTGAACCTTCTCTTCACTTCTTGTTCTATTCTGATCCTTCTCTTCACTTTTGTTCTATTATAAACCTTCTCTTCACTTCTTGTTCTACTCTGAACCTACTCTTCACTTCTTGTTCTACTCTGTTCCTTCTCTTCACTTCGTGTTCTATTTTGATATTTCTCTCCACAATTTTTTCTATTCTGATCCTTCCCTTCCCTTCTTGTTCTACTCTGTTCCTTCCCTTCACTTCTTGTTCTATTCTGAACCTTCTCTTCACTTCTTGTTCTATTTTGTTCCTTCTCTTCACTCTTGTTCTATTCTGATCCTTTCCTTCCCTTCTTGTTCTATTCTGATCCTTCCCTTCACTTCTTGTTCTATTCTGTTCAATCATTCTCTTCACTTTTTAACCTATGCTGTTCCTTCCCTTTACTTCTTGCTCATTTCTCTACTCTGATCCTTCTCTGCTTCTTCTATTATATTTTGTTGTTTTTCCTTCTTTGATTGATTTTCAATATTTCTTTGAAAAAGAGCGCTGATAAAACCTAGTTTAGAAATGTGCTTCCACATTACTCTTAAAGAATTACTGCGTTGAATTTTTACACACAGATATTGTATTGCAGATGTACTCTCTCTCTTACTGATCAATATGTCCACCCCCTCAATTTATTCTTACTTTGATTTTTTTATCCCCCATTTTCATATTTTCAATCAAATTCAACTTTAATATTACGTTAAAAACGCAAAAATAGGGAATCAGGATTATAAACTTTAAATAAAGATAAATAGAAGAGGTATGAAGAATTAAGATATTATGAAAGAAAAAAATATATTTAAATGATTTATTTAGAATTTAAAAGTTGCACATTTGCAGTTATCTCCATAGGTTCTTGAAATAATCTAGAAATTAGGAAAGATTCTTTTCTTTTAAACCTAGAGGTTTACTCCTGTAAACCTAAAGGTCTACTCCTGTAAACCAAAAGGTCTACTCCTGCAAACCTTAAGGTCTACTCCTGTTAACCTAAAGGTCTACTTCTGTAAACCTAAAGGTCTACTCCTGTAAACCTAAAGATCTACTCCTGTAAACCTAAAGGTCTACTCCTATAAACCTAAAGGTCTACTCCTGTAAACCTAAAAATCTACTCCTGTAAACCTAAAGATCTACTCCTGTAAACCTAAAGGCCTACTCCTGTAAACCTAAAGGTCTACTCCTGTAAACCTAAAGATCTACTCCTGTTAACCTAAAGGTCTACTCCTGTAAACCTAAAGGTCTACTCCTGTTAACCTAAAGATCTACTTCTGTAAACCTAAAGGTCTACTCCTGTAAACCTGAAGATCTACTCCTGTAAACCTAAAGATTTACTCCTGTAAACCTAAAGGTATAGTCCTGTAAACCTAAAGGTCTACTCCTGTAAACCTAAAGCTTCTTGATGTTTTCGTGCTTTCTCTCTGAGGTCCGCAATACTTGAGGATTTCTGAACATTTAACTCCTAGAACAATGATTAGATTAGGCGTGGAGTAATAATTATTTCCAACTACTTAACAGGAAAGTTAAGGGAACCCGTTAATTAAAATTTTCTTATTTCCTGAATTGGTAGTTATCGTCTTTTAAAATGAAAATGCGCGAATTTTTTCACGAAAACGAGCGGGTGTTTATTTTACTTAATTGTACCAAGGGACGTTAAGTAACTTGACGCCTTTCTGGTGCATCAGAGGTTCAGAACAGGACTAGGACGAGGAGAAGAGAAGTGAGAATAGATTTCCTTGAAGCTTGAGAACCTGGAGAAGAGGTTTAGAAGAGTACTAGGATGAGGAGAAGAGAGAACAGTTTACCTGGAAGCTTAAGAACCTGGAGAAGAGGTTCAGAACAGGACCAGGATGAGGAGAAGAGAAGAGAGTATAGTTTACCTGGAAGCTTGAGAACCTGGAGGAGAGGTATAGAACAGGACTAGGATAAGGAGAAGAGAAGAGAGAATAGTTTACCTGGAGGAGAGGTTCAGAACAGGACCAGGATGAGGAGAAGAGAGAACAGTTTATCTGGAAGCTTGAGAACCTGGAGAAGAGGTTCAGAACAGGACCTGGATGAGGAGAAGAGAAGAGAGGATAGTTTACATGGAAGCTTGAGAACCTGGAGGAAAGGTTCAGAACAGGACTAGGATGAGGAGAAGAGAAGAGAGAATAGTTTACCTGGAAGCTTGAGAACCTAGATGAGAGGTTCAGAACAGGACTAGGATGAGGAGAAGATGAGAAGAGAGAAGACATGAGCAATGAATGCGAAAGAGAAGGAAACATGTGCCCGGTTAAACTGCTCGCCATTGCTACAGCTGCGTACTGATAATATTGGTATATTAAGGGACTGTAAGCATAATTTCAAGTTACCCTCCATGCAAAACTGGCTTCGCTCGATTCGCAATGGTACCATTAAATCCTTTGTCTGATGAAAGTGTGGAACAAATCTTCATTTTTCTAGGTTTAAAAGTGTTTAATTCTGAGAATTCCTGTTGTAGAAATATAAAAAACTACAATTGAAAATAAAGAGTTTTCGAAATTATAAAAAATGATATCTAATTCATACTCGGTCAGGCAAAGCTTTAAAGGGTACCGTTGTGAATTGGCATTGTCATCGTTGCATAGAGGGTCACTTGAAATTACGCTTACATTCCCTTAAAAGTTAAAATTATGAAAATTGCTAATCTGATTTTGTTTATATTTCTTATCCGCTAAAAGTTTATACGTCTTTTTAGAAATTTAAAAAAAAACAAAATTTACTTAATGCTTTAACATTTCTTTTAAGTATTTGCAACTGTAAAAAGTTGATATTTTAATAGATCGGGAAAATAAAATAAAAATACATATATTTCATTTTAACAGGAGAAAAAATGTTTACGGAAAAATGTTGAATTTGAATGTTTAATAAATGTCGTCTTTTCTACCTGATGAGCGGCGAGGAGGGCAGAGGGTGGTGGAAATCCCTTGAGAACAGAATCAGCGAATACATCAGGTTTACTGGACATTTTATTTCAGAATATAAATTAAAATGGAGAAATACAACTAAACAAGTTAAATAATAAGGACAACATTTATACAATAGATTTGTTTTGGGAATATAATGTTTACAATCGCTTTTCATTCATCAAAGAATTAGTGCATTTTAATTTCTTATTCAACACAAATACGACAAGTACTGGAGAACCCATACAACTGTGGAATCGGAAGACGACATTTAAGCAATCTTATGTGAAAATATATCTTGTTAAAACGCAATTAGCTTAAAAATCAGCGTAAAATGGTTCTGTGTACACTGCACATTCATTGGACTAAGCTTAATATCATAACTTGAGCCTAGCAGTCGTCTTCGTACTAAACAGTGTGATAGATCTCAGTGCAATAAAACAAAATGTACTTGACAGGGATTGATATTGACACCTAAAATCAAATTATGTTAGAAGATAATTTGCTAATGTCAATTGACATACTACTGTGACCTATGTAACCCTACCTGGAGTTCTCTGTAAAGGTTTGAGTTGAGTTAAGTTGCTGTTTCTCCGGTAGCTTATTAGAGTACGGGAGCTTGGAGCCCGAAAGGTTAACTGTGTGTCCAGGCAAGGATTGGGACGAGTTTTGAAGGTTTCTTAGGGTCAATCCTGAACACAGATAAATTACCAATAATCATTAAAGGGAGAGATAGGCTAGACATGGTAGTTGAGCTAAGAGTGCAGTATTATAGAGAAATATTTTAATATTCATTAAAAACTTGTAAGACCTGTCTGTTTACGGTGTAAATTGTTCAGCAAGAGCGAAAATTCTATCTTTAAAATCCTCCTGGATTGTCGTCCCAAAACCTTCACGCGCAACAACCTGCCGGCACGCGCAACAACCTGCTGGCACGCGCAACAACCTGTCGGCACGCGCAACAACCTGCCGGCACGCGCATCAACCTGCCGGGCCTAAGCGCCACAACCGGACCCATCAGCTGACTCGAGCTGCTAACGCTAAAATAAAATCCAGGAGGATTTTAAAGATCGAATTTTTGCTCTTGCTAAACAATAAACACCGTAAAAACGTCTTATAGGTCTTAAATGAATTCAAAAAAAAGTCTCTACAATACTGCTTAATTACCATGTCAATCCAGTCTCTCCCTTTAACCTTTACCCCTTCTTTATACTAGAAATTGCGTCAAAAAAAATCAAATGTTCAGTTATAAAAATGTTATATTGTCCGAATGGAAGTTCAAAAGTTTAAACGGTTTATAAAGCAATCAACTTTCATTTTTAAACGTTTTGTCACTTTTGGCCTTCTGACTATAATTTATAATATTCCAGAATCAAAACCAAGCTTACCAGGGGTTGAATGTAGGTTCGATAATTGAACACCTGGACCAGGACTTGAAGATTTGTGCATCTGACTCTCATGCTTCCGACATTTAGCTCGTCTGTTTTGAAACCATACCTGAGAAATTTTTAGACTTATTAAAATAAACTGGAATTAACTAGAATAAGCAGGACTAAACTTTAGTAACTGTCTAGAAATTAACTGAAATGAATTGATCTAAACTTGAATAAACAAAATAAACTAGAATAAATTCTAATATTGTCTTACCTGAACCTTGGCTTTACAAAGTCCTAATCTTGTCTCATCTGAACCCTGGCTTTACAAAGTCCTAATCTTGTCTCATCTGGATCCTGGCTTTAAAAAGTACTAATCTTGTCTCACCTGAACCCTGGCTTCACTAAGTCCTAATCTTGTCTCATCTGAACCCTGGCTTCACTAAGTCCTAATCTTGTCTCATCTGAACCCTGGCTTCACTAAGTCATAATCTTGTCTCACCTGAACCCTGGCTTTACAAAGTCCTAATCTTGTCTCACCTGAACCTTGGCTTCACTAAGTCCTAATCTTGTCTCACCTGAACCCTGGGTTCACTAAGTCCTAATCTTGTCTCATCTGAACCTTGGCTTCACTAAGTCCTAATATTGTCTCACCTGAACCCTGGGTTCACTAAGTCCTAATCTTGTGTCACCTGAACCCTGGGTTCAATAAGTCCTAATCTTGTGTCACCTGAACCCTGGCTTCACTAAGTCCTAATCTTGTCTCACCTGAACCCTGGCTTCACTAAGTCCTAATCTTGTCTCACCTGAACCCTGGCTTCACTAAGTCCTAATCGTTCACTAAGTTCTTCTCTCATGAAAGCATCTGGGTAGTGAGTTTCATCAAATAATCTCTCCAGTTCACTCAGCTGATCAACACTAAAACAAATCTGTTTATCAGCTCAGTCAAAAATAATTTTAAGGTCAAGTTTCTCAAACCCCCAATAACAATACAGACAAATGAGGGAAATGTTTGAATTAAATCTTTTTAAAATTATTAATGTTACAAAAAGATGAATTATTTAAGGAATCGAAATGAATATTATAAGGAAATATTGAATGAACAGTTTGAGAAAATGAATAGTTTGAGAAAATGAATAGTTTGAGAAAATGAATAGCTTGAGAAAATGAATAGTTAGAGAAAATGAATAGTTTGAGAATATGAATAGTTTGAGAATATGAATAGTTTGTCAAAAAATTAATAGTTTGAGGAAATGAATAGTTTGAGAAAATGAATAGTTTGAGAAAATGAATAGTTTAAGGGAATGATTAGTTTGTGAGCAAATGAATAGTTTGAGGAATTTAATAGTTTGAGAAAATGAATAGTTTGAGAAAATGAATAGTTTCTGAAAATGAAAAGTTTGAGGTAATGAATAGTTTGAGAAAATAAACAGTTTCAGGAAATGAATAGTTTGAGGAATTTAATAGTTTGAGAAAATGAATAGTTTGAGAAAATAAACAGTTTCAGGAAATGAATAGTTTGAGGAAATGAATAGTTTGAGAATGAATAGTTTAAAGAAATGAATAGCTTGAGGAAATGAAAAGTTTGAAAAAATGAATAGTTTGAGAAAATAAATAGTTTGAGGAAATTAAAAGTTTGAGGTAATAAATAGTTTGAGGAAATGAATAGTTTGAGGAAATGAAAAGTTTGAGAATGAATAGTTTGAGGAAATGAATAGCTTGAGGAAATGAAAAGTTTGAGGTAATGAATAGTTTGAGGATAATGAATAGTTTGAGGATATGAATAGTTCGAGGAAATGAAAAGCTTGGGGTAATGAATAGTTTGAGAAAATGAAAAGTTTGAGAAAATGAATAGTTTGAGGAAATGAATATTTTGAGGAAATGAATAGTTTGAAGAAATGAATAGTTTGAAGAAATGAATAGTTTGAGGAAAAGAATAGTTTGAGAGAAATAATGACCTAAAATTTGTTCTACTTCGTCTTTGTTTTGCTTTTTCTTTCCTCTCTTCCTCTTCTTCTTCTTCTGTTTTGCCAATATCATCTAAATTCAACAACATTGTAAATATTTTTATTATTATCTTGACTCAAATTCAAATTTTTGTGTTCCAAACTAATAAAAGGGGTACCATTGAATGGATTATTAATAGTTTTATTTCTATCAGATAATTCTGTTTATATGCACTAATAGATTAAAAGACAACATTTTAATATGTATATATATATATAGTTCTTTCTTCTTGATATTTGGGTATTCATGAAGAAATATGAAGAATCATAAAAATACAATTTTTAATATATATTTGAACGCTGATGATTTTAATGAGTTTTACCGACACTGTTTAACTTTATTGTCTAAGAATTAAAAGCTTGTTTACTATGATTATAAATAGATACTGGATGATATGAAGCCTAAAATCCACCTACAGTCAGTATTCCATGTTTAAAACACTCATTTCTATCTATTGACATATATTATCGGTATACGTTGTTAAAAATTGAAAGGATGCTAGGCCTAGTTTTAGAAGTTGGCGGGACGGAACAACCTGATTCTGCTCCAGGAGCAAGGATGAACTTGAACATAATCTTCTCAGGTACTAGAGAGAACTAGTCAGGACTAGTCTTACAACCCATGATTAGAATTACATTTGACAATTTATGACTTTCTTCTAAATTTCACAAATTTGCAAACCTTCCACAATTAATAATCCCTGTCCTCAGATCAGGTTTCAAATTCAATTATTCTTTCCTTGAATATTATTCAACTGATAAGGAAAAGGCTGCATTAAAGGAGGGTTCACGGGATGATAATTAAAGGAGGGTTCACGGGATGATAATTAAAGGAGGGTTCACGGGATGATAATTAAAGGAGGGTTCACGGGATGATAATTAAAGGAGTGTTTGCGGGATGATAATAACAGGAGGGTTCGCGGGATGATAATTACAGGAGGTTTCGCGTGATGATAATTACAGAAGGGTTCGCGGGATTATAATTACAGAAAAGTTTGCGGGATTACAAATACAGGAGGGTTCGCGGGATGATAACTACAGAAGGGTTCGCGGGATGATAATTACAGAAGGGTTCGCTGGATTATATTTCCAGGAGGGTTCGCGGGATTATAATTACAGGAGGGTTCGCAGGATTATAATTACAGAAGGGTTCGCGGGATCATAATTACAGAAGGGTTCGCGGGATATAATTACAGGAGGGTTCGCAGGATTATAATTACAGGAGGGTTCGCGGGATTATAATTACAGGCGGATTCGCAGAATTATAATTACAGGAGGGTTCGCAGGATTATAATTACAGGAGGGTTCGCGGGATTATAATTACAGGAGGGTTCGCAGGATTATAATTGCAGGAGGGTTCGCGGGATTATAATTACAGGAGGGTTCGCAGGATTATAATTACAGGAGGGTTCGCGGGATTATAATTACAGGAGGCTTCGCGGGATTATGATTACAGGAGGGTTCGCGGGATAATAATTGGAAATTAACTCACTGTTATCTCTGTAACATATTGTAATTAGGCTTCATGGCGCTTTGCCCCGCTCTTTCTCACAATTAGAGCTCTTAAATGCCACTTTAATGGCAACCCTTTTTTTACTTATTATTTGAAAGTCGAGTGATAAAGTAAAGAAATTAATAACTCGTCTGTTTTAATACCTATATTTGTAAACCTGGCGCCGAAATCTCTTAATTTTAAACTTTGATCATTTAATGTAGTAGATTTACGATATCTTTTTCACCACAAGAAGTTGGGGTTGATCGGTTCAGTCGTTTTTACGTTTATTGGACACAAACAAATTAACAGAAAACCAAAATATATATGTAGATGTAGATTTTCAATCTGTCAATCACTCATTTTCTCTCTTATTTAATTTCTTAAATTTTGATCATTATAAATCTGATATATATCTGGTATATACAACGAAGTTTCATATCTGATATAGACCTGTTTGAGATGAGGTTACAAGATGAATAGATTCAGGAGGTGAAACTTCAAGGGTTGTTGTACTAACTGAGTTCTCTTCTAACTCTGAATTTACAAAATCAGCTAAATTTAGAGAAATATTCTATTGCTAAAAACTGCGCTTGAAGGACGCTTTACACTCCTTTTCTAGTTATAATTTAGTAACTTTATATAGAAATAATTTTTATCTGAACTCTTAGATAAAAACAAAAATTCAGATTTTCTTAATTTTCTTGATTTTCTTTGTTATTTTTCAAAATAACAAAACAATAACAAGGGTTTTTTTTGAGGGGGGATGGGTGCTGTTAGAACCCTGTAATCCTTTTCAAAGAGAAGTACAAAATGTTTAACCAATAAGCTAAAGACTTAGGACACGTCTTCCATCAGTGTAGTAAAGTAAAACTAAGAGATCATAGAAAATGTAAATTCCTGGTTTTAAAGTTTCTTTGTTGGTTCTGATAACTAGAGATAAAGGTTCCATGTTCTCAACCAGGTGCCTAGGATGGATTACTCCTTGGTAACCACTGGACCCGGAGAACCCAACCTCAGGTAGAGGTTTACTGTTTCCAGGGTTGGTTCTTGGTCCCAGATTCTTTAGCTCATTAAAGGGTTTGACGGGATCAACGATGGAAGAACTATTCAAGGTTTGATCATTCTTCCTGAGTACTGTAGACTTATCAGACTTATTTAGTGTCTCTGTTGGCTCTAAACCAGGTCGGAAAAATTTCGTATATTCAGGAGAACTCCATTTTTCGTCCTTTATTTTCTGAGGCGGGTCGGATACCTCTCCTTCCTTTTCCTCAATCTTAACCAAACTCTCCTCACTCATTATTCAGCAAACTTCTTTCTGTTTCACGTCTCAGTATCTGGTTGAAAACAAGAAAATGATAAGAATCACTAAACTCCAAGACATAAAGTTTTTTAGATGCCTGAATGTTTATAACTGTGCCACCTGAACCATTGAGTGTTGGATATCCACAACCTCAGTCTCAACCGTCCTCCACACGAGGTCGATTCCGTCTGGCGGTCTCGTCTGCATTTTCTTGGTTTTGGCGGCATTTCTGGCGCCAAGACATTTTCCGTCCGACCTCGCTATAGTTCTCTGCCAATTATTCATCCCCACCTCTCCCTGCGCACTTGAAGATAAATGGTAAACAAAATTCTATTCTTATTCAATCATTTATTTTTAAATTTAAATCATGTGAGAAAATATATTTTAGAGTGAATGTCGTTGTCGTTATAATTTAAAATTTAAAATAGAAAATGAGATATCTCATGTATTCCTTGATGAGACAAAGCTATTAAAGGTAACGTTTTGAATCGAACATACCAATCTATAAATGGAGGGCAATTTGAAAATACGGGTTACGTCGGTCCCTTTTATACTTTTCCAAAATTTTGATTTAAAAAATAGTATTTTAGACAATTATAAAAATGAAAGAGGATCAGAATAGACAAGAACACAATGGATAAAAGAGAACCTGAATAGACAAGAACACTATAGATGAAGGAGAACCAGAATAGACAAGAATTCTAGATGAAAGAGGACCAGAATAGACAAGAACCCTACGGATGAAAGAGAACCAGAATAGACAAGAACTCTAGATGAAAGAGAAACAGAATAGACAAGAACACTATAGATGAAAGAGAACCAAAATAGAAAAGAATACTATAGATGAAGGAGAACCAGTATAGACAAGACAACAGTAGATGAAAGAAAACCAATATAGACAAGAACACTATACATGAAAGAGAACCAGTATAGACAAGAACACTGTAGATGAAAGAGATTCAGTATAGACAAGAACACTGTAGATGAAAGAGAACCAGTATAGACAAGAACACTGTAGATGAAAGAGAATCAGTATAGACAAGAACACTGTAGATGAAAGAGAACCAGTATAGACAAGAACACTATAGATGAAAGAGAACCAGTATAGACAAGAACACTATAGATGAAAGAGAACCAGTATAGACAAGAACACTATACATGGAAGAGAACCAGAACAGACAAGAATACTATACATGAAAGAGAACCAGAACAGACAAGAACACTGTAGATGAAAGAGAACCAGTATAGACAAGAGTTCTAGATCAAACGAGATAAGAATAAAACAAGAATTAGAGAAAGTAGAATAATAACAAATCCATTTAAAAAAAATATAAAGGAACCGAAAACTCGTCTAAAACTCTAATAATGCTTATATTTTTGCAACCTGATCGTGTAAACTTTGACTATTTAATTTAGCAGAATCTATGTTTTGAAATTAAAAATTTAAAGTTTTGCGACATCAGGTTGCAAAGATATACATGTACTAGACGGATATAAGAATATACATGTACTAGACGGATATAAGAATATTCATGTACTAGACGGATATAAAGAATGTCCATGTACTAGACGGATATAAGAATNGTACATGTACTGGACGGATATAAAGAATGAACATGTACTAGACGGATAAAGAATGTACAATGTTCATTTCGGAAAAGGAAGAGAGTGGAGCCGAATAAGAAAGTCCTGACACTGCAAAATTCTATACTCTATACTGTATCCTGCATGTATATACAGTCTTCCATAATCCAAGATATAAGTTACCAAACTCATAAAATTATTAAAATCTAAACCACAGATTAAAAATATTGTGACAATATCCTAGTTTTCTTTTCCCAGTATACTTAAGTAGGGCCAAACCCATAAAATGGATATTTATGGAGAAGTTGGCATGCCAAGGTAGGGTTTATATTTCTAAACATTAGATAATCTACGAACAGTATGAACAAGAACTCTAGATGAAAGAGGATCAGAATAGGCAAGAACTCTAGATGAAAGAAGACTAGAATAGACAAGAACTCTAAATAAAAGAGGACTAAAATAGGCAAGAACTCTAGATGAAAGAGGACCAGAATAGACAAGAACTCTCAATGAAAGAGGACCAGAATAGACAAGAACTCTAGATGAAAGAGGACTAGAATAGGCAAGAAAGCTAGATGAAAGAGGACCAGAATAGACAAGAACTCTAGATGAAAGAGGACCAGAATAGACAAGAACTCTCGATGAAATAGGACCGGAAAGAACAAGAATTTTAAATGAAAGAGGTCCAGATTCAACAAGAACTCTTGGTGAAAGAGGAACAGAATAGACAAGAACTCAAGATGAAATAGGACCGGAAAGAACAAGAATTCTAAATGAAAGAAGATCATAATGAACAAAAACTCTAGATGAAAGAGAACCAGAATAGACAAGAACTCTAGATGAAAGAGAACCAGAATGAACAAGAACTCAAGATGAAATAAGACCGGAAAGAACAAGAACTCTAGATGAAAAAGGACCAGAATAGACAAGAACACTATAGATGAATGAAAACTAGAATATACAAGAATTCTAGATGAAAGAATACCAGAATGGACAAAAACAATAGATGAAAGAGGACCAGAATAGACAAGAACACTACAGATGAAAGAGAACTAGAATATACAAGAATTCTAGATGAAAGAGTACCAGAATGGACAAGAACACTAGATGAAAGAGGACCAGAATGAATAAGATATCTAGATGAAAGAGGATCAGAATGAACAAGAAGTCTAGATGAAAGAGGAACAGAATGAACAAGAATTCTAGATGAAAGAGTTATCCAAGTGTTCATTGTATCATACCAAGCATATTCTGTATCCAATTAAGTTTATATGTATCCCAGCACGCATATTCTGTATCTAAGTAAGTGTACCTTGTATCATACCAACCATATACTGTATCCAATTAAGTTTATCTGAATCCTTGCAAGCATATTCTGTATCCAAGTAAGTGTGCCTTGTATCCGATAAAACATATTCTGTATCCAAGTAAGGGCCCCCTATATGTTACCAAGTACTTGTTGTATCTGTATCCACCAAAGAATATGCTGTAAATAAGTAAGTGTACGTTGTATCATAGCATGGACAATTTATCAACTTACTCATCTATGATTATAGGTTACGGAACTCTTCTCATCCTCCATCCTCCATCCTTCGTCCTTCATCCTTCATCCTCCATCCTTCATCCTTCATCCTTCATTCTTCATCCTTCATTCTTCATATTTCATCCTTCATCCTTCATCCTTCATCCTTCATGCTTCATCCATCATGCTTCATCCTTCATCCTTCATCCTTCATCTCTGGGATTATTTTGACTAGTTTGGAGAACTCTACTAATCCTTCATTCTTCATGGACGAATGAATCAGCTCATTAGTCTCTCTAAGATTATATTAACTAGTTTGGAGAATTCTTCTCATCCTTCATCCTCCATCCTTCGTCCTTCATCCTTCATCCTTCATCCTTCATCCTTAACCCTGAAGGGACTGTAAAGGAAAAATGAAAGGGGGAATAGGCTGAAATTGTCTCGAGAAAATTGATATAATAGATATTTTAATAAATACGTCCGTATCATGTGACCAGAACTCCAACTAACGTCAGCGTAGTATCATTATCACGTGACTCCGTCTGCATCACGTGACCAGTATACTGCACTGCCATTTAAGTGGGAGTTGTGGTCACGTGATACGGACGTATAAATAATATTATTAATTATATGTTTTATAAATGAAAAATTATTAAATTCAAATGATAATAGAAGCAACCCTAAATTTCTTAGGCTCCTCTTGGATATCGTCGTTTTCAGATTGGTTGTTGATTTTCTAAATATGATTCGTTTAAACCTACTAATTTTATACAACATTTTATATATATAGATTTTCGTATAAATTTTACACAGTTTAATATCAATTTCTCGAGACAGGAAAATCAGATAGAACTCTCATGGGTCTCGATCAACTCCTTACATGCTTAGGTTTCAGCCTATACCCCCTTTCATTTTTCCTTTACAGTCCCTTTAATTTCTGGGATTATTTTGACTAGTTCGGAGAGCCCTTCTCATCCTTCATCCTTCATCCTTGATTCATCTCTGGGATTATATTGACTAACTCATCTCATCCTTAATTCTTCATGGACGAATTAATAAACTAATTAATCTATTATTACCTATTAATTATAGTGACTAATTCTGAGAATTCTTCTCAACCGTCAACTCATTTCTCTCTAGGATTATAGTGACTAGTTCGGAGAACTCTACTCATCCTTCATCCTTCATGGATGAATTTATCAACTCATTTCTCTCTAGGATTATAGTGACCAGTTCGGAGAACTCTACTCATCCTTCATCCTTCATGGATGAATTCATCAACTCATTTCTCTGTAGGTTCCAGAACTACATATTCTCACAGGTCTGTACATTACATAAAAAGAAAAATCTAAATAAAACAGATTGAGAAATGATTATTGAATATCTAGGTTATAGGATCTGATATTGAACTTGTTAGTTTGGAAATACTTCAAGGTGTTCAGGACGCATTGAGGTTAGTCTTCTATAAAGTTCTACGCTCATAAATACAGAGTGTCCCACATTAAATTAGACCGCGTCAATGGGTCTAAATTACGATTTGGGGGACAAATTAGAAAATTTAAGAAGAATGAATCATTTTGAAAAATTTAATAAGGCTAATAGAATTTTTTTTTGGCAGAAAATTAATTTTTTAATTTTTTTCTTAAATTTTCTATTAATTTTAAATTTCATGGGAAACGCCGGGCACTTGAACTAGTTATCCATAATCTAAAAATTCCTGAAAATAGTGCCTATTTAATAACAACCAAAAACCTGCAAAAACTATTCAATTATTTAAGAACATCCGCCGAGTGATTCATAGAAAAAAATTCAAACTCGTAAAATTATTTTTAAATTAATATTTTTGCTTTAGTTTGAAGAGAGAGGAATATGCCAATGTTTGGAATATTAGATTTTTTTCTAACGAAGTGAATCTGATTATCAGGTTGGACTTTTACAAGATACTGATTATACAGAAGTTGGTATTTGGAACTCTTACTTTTGAAACTTTTACAAGATACTGATCATACAGAAGTTGGTATTTGGAACTCTTACTTTTGAAACTTTTACAAGATACTGATCATACAGAAGTTGATATTTGGAACTCTTACTTTTGAAACTTTTACAAGATACTGATTATACAGAAGTTGATATTTGGAACTCTTACTTTTGAAACTTTTACAAGATACTGATTAAACAGAAGTTGATATTTGGAACTCTTACTTTTGAAACTTTTACAAGATACTGATTATACAGAAGTTGATATTTGGAACTCTTACTTTTGAAACTTTTACAAGATACTGATTAAACAGAAGTTGATATTTGGAACTCTTACTTTTGAAACTTTTACAAGATACTGATTATACAGAAGTTGATATTTGGAACTCTTACTTTTGAAATTTTTACAAGATACTGATTATACAGAAGTTGATATTTGGAACTCTTACTTTTGAAATTTTTACAAGATACTGATTATACAGAAGTTTATATTTGGAACTCTTACTTTTGAAATTTTTACAAGATACTGATTATACAGAAGTTGATATTTGGAACTCTTACTTTTGAAATTTTTACAAGATACTGATTATACAGAAGTTTATATTTGGAACTCTTACTTTTGAAACTTTTACAAGATACTGATTATACAGAAGTTGATATTTGGAATTCTTATTTTTGAAACTTTAAAAGAGACGTTTCACGAATATAATACAGGGTGTCCCAATAAACATTGGAATTCAGTGACGATTTTGATATCGTCTTTGTAAATGATTTTTTGATTTAGTTTAGTGATACCTACTAAGAAAGCTATAATCCGTCTTCTAGAGTTTAGAATTTGTTTGTCTATGTTTTCATAGCCTATTGAGGTGTACTCAGAGATAAGAGAGTTACAGAGATCGATTAGCACCTATAATATGCGATATTTTCCACAGCATGTTGTATTGTGTACCTGTACACGACCAATCAGGAGACATTTGTATTCAGGGATATTTAAGGATTCTTTGAAAAGGAAATGCAAAAACTTTAAAAATAGACAATATTTATAAACGTTATGTTTTATGCTTAAAATTGGAGTATTGCTTTAAAAGTTGTAAAACTTAACCCCTGAATGCAACAAGTGGCCGTAAGATGTCAGTCAAAAAACATTACATGGAACCGTAGCATGGCGTGCCGGGACACTATTGGTCTGCTCAGCCTATCCAGAGTGTATGAGCAGTCTGTGTATTCCGTGGGTGTACTTAATAAAAATAAATTCGTGTATACAAGCATAGTACAGTTGTCTCTCTTCACTGTTTATCTTGCAGAAATGTTACAGAACATCATATCAAAATTTTGCAGAAAAACAGTCTTTTACCGTTTACAAAAAATATACTCTAGCAGACGTAACTTTATTTTGACCATTGAAATTAGGTAACACAAAGACGACTTCGAATTCGTCTCTTAATTCCCACGTTTATTGAGAGACCCATTTACTATATGTCCATAATCCAGAATGGAAAGATCCATAAAAAAAGTTGTTTATGTTCATAAAGCTCTATTTTGTTTGTTTAAATCGTGTAGAAAGAAACTTGATTAGATGTATGATATACGATATACATTACACAACACAATTTACATTTCTACTCATCGAACCTGATTAGATGTATGATATACGATATACATTACACAACACAATATACATTTCTACTCATCGAACCTGATTTGATGTATGATATACGATATACATTACACAACACAATATATATTTCTACTCATCGAACCTGATTAGATGTACGATATACGATATGCATTACACAGCACAATATACATTTCTACTCATCGAACCTGATTAGATGTATGATATACGATATACATTACACAACACAATATATATTTCAACTCATCGAACCTGATTAGATGTACGATATACGATATGCATTACACAACACAATATACATTTCTACTCATCGAACCTGATTAGATGTATGATATACGATATACATTACACAACACAATATACATTTCTACTCATCGAACCTGACTAGATGTATGATGTACGATATACATTACACAACACAATATACATTTCTACTCATCGAACCTGATTAGATGTACGATATACGATATACATTACACAACACAATATACATTTCTACTCATCGAACGATCATGTTTTCCAAAAGATGGTTTGATTTGATATATCTTGTATTGTCTAGGTTCTGTGAACTTCTTTGTATCCCAGAGCTGAGAAAACTAGACCTGGAGAAGGTTCCAAGGGTTTTAAGAACAGATCTTTTAATCAACCTTCCTAGGTAGCTCCTATCTACATGTGGATTTACAGGATTACCCATAAAGGATGAGACTTAAGAGACGACTGTACGGAATTTAAACTTGTTTTTTCTTATTCATGATTCCTGCATACAAACTTCTCTTTCTACGCCAAATCAATAATTAAGCCATTTAAAGAGCTTAGGATCTTCATATTTTCAAAAGATTCAAGTCCTCTCTCTACACTCTCATCTTTTGTGAGAAACCATATTTTAAACAATAAAAGTACTTCTAACTCAAAAATGATATAAAATGACTTATTTAACCTCAAATATTTTAATGTTGGGTAATTTACTTGAAAAATGGGACCAGATTTAATGAATAGTGAGTCATAGTTGAACCACATATACGTGGTTTAACCACTTCTTTTCAGTTTAAACTATAGCGCACAAGAGATTGGATTTAATTTCGTCTATGACGTTCAACTACTTCTTTCTATTCATTAAATCTGGTCCATGGTTTACTATAGGTTGAGTGGATTAGGTGAGCTGTATCTAGGATATGGAGCAGGAAATCCAGAACGAATGGATAGGTAACTATTTAAAGTTGAAAAATAAAATATTGAAAAACCAAAATTTTCGACATATTATTAGGAAAAGTACGCAAATTAAGGAAGGATAAGGAGTATGTTTTGAAAAGAGGAATTGTTTTCAACAGAAAATAAGTATATAAAGTATATATTCTAGGTAGTATATTGAAGGTATATATTCTAGGTACTATAGTGAAGGTATATATTCTAGGTACTATAGTAAAGATATATATTCTAGGTACTATAGTGAAGGTATATATTCTAGGTACTATAGTGAAGGTATATCTAAGATGAGAACTCTGACACATTTCTCCCTAAAAAGAAACTGTACGGATAGAATTATAGAACTTCTCTCTAAAAGCTGTAAAATGTATCTCCAGGTAAAAACTTTTACTTAAAACGTGTTGATTTTTCCAAAATTATGATCTTTGCCTTTTCCTGTGTTCCAAGTTAAATAATTTTTTTGCCGGAAAGACTTGAATTGAGCCTTTGCCACAAACTATGACTTTCTAATCCTTTGTAACCCAGTGTCGTAGACCTTAGATATTTCAAACTATGAATTCTGTTAGATCAAATAATCTAAGTTTGAAATATCTAAGGTTTACACAATCAGGTTGCAAATATGAAGGAATAAGAAAATTTGAGTTTGTGTCAAGGACTCAATTCTTTTTTTAAAGTTACAATAAAATTTGGCAACCTCCAATTACTGATAGTCAAAAATTTATAAATAATTTTAAAGTTGTTGCTTTTGTTTAACGTATTTCCAGGTTCTAGATGTTGAAGGATCCAGGGATATTACAGATCTCTGCATTCAGGTTCCGAGTTTATACAAAATATATAATAAGGAATTGAGTCTTTGTCACAAACTTAAATTTTCTAATCCATATACCTTTACAACCTGATGGTGCAAACGTTTAATATTTACAACTTATATTATTTGAAATATCTATGGTTTACATAGGGTTGCAAAAATAAAGGGATTATAAAATCAGAGTTTTTGGCAAAGACTCAATATCATTACTGTTACTATAGTTAATATTATATGTATAAAGAAGTTTTTTCTTTGTCCGTCTATTTTGGTGCTTGTTTGTGTGTACAATCATAATTTATAAAACCCTTGACAGCTTTCCCTCAAACTTTATGGAAAAGATTAGTTTCCGGTCAAATCTGGGTTCCTTAGCACACTGTAAGCGTAATTTCAAGTAACCCACCATGCAAAGACGACAATTCCCGATTCCCAACAGTACCTTTAGAAACTTTGTCGGATCAAGTATGAATTATAAATCAATGTTTTTAATATTGAAAACTGATCATTTCAATTGTGGTTCATCTGAAAAAGTGACTTGCACATTTGTACAGCAGGAAAGCATAGAAATCATCAGAATTGATAACTTTTAAACCTATAAAAACGACAAAATGTTCCACATTATTGCCAGATCAGATCAAGGTTCTAATAGTTCCGTTGTGATATCGGGCATTAACATCTCTGCATGGAGGGTCACTTGAAATGATGCTTTCAGGTTCCTTTAAGCTTGATATATTTGTTTAGTATCTAGCAGAGTTTAGATTAAGAGAACTCAATGTATTCAACACTTCCCTAACTATCAGGTAGATTTATCAAATTTAATTTAATCCGAAAAAAATTCTTGACTGTAAAGGTTTAACGGATAACATTGAAAAATACTTTGCTTCTCTGGTTGGGTGTTTGCTTTTTTGTTTGTAACCGATAAACGTCAAAACGGCTGAACCGATCAGGCCCAAATTTTGTGTGGGACCTCACATGACCCCAGGGAATGTTCATGTAAAATAGTTTAATTCTAAAATTATTTATGGGAAAGGGGGCACGAAGCGCCCTAAAAGCCTAGTATTGTAAAGAAACTGAGTTTTGTGTCACAAACTCAAATCTTCTAATTTCTACATCGTTTCGACCTGATGGGTCAAACCTTTGATATTTCAAACTTAAATTATTTGATCTAACAGGAAATATAAATGAAATATCAAAAGTCTACAATAATGGGTTGTAAAGATATAGGGATTAGAAAATCAAAGTTTGTGACAAAAACTCAGTTTCTTTCAAAAATATTTAATATTGTAGAGTTGAAAAAGATTGGTGGGTTAAATTCTGGTTTAAAATTCTCAGAACTGAGATGGAATTTAAAGAATTTTAGCCGCGGTTTAAATCTGCCAAAACCCGGTTTAAACCGGCTTAAATCTTGAAACATCATTTAATACAATTTTATGTGGAACCAACCATATTCAAGCCACAGCTTAAATTCAAACCGCCGCTCAAATTCTTTAAATTAGGCCACGATCATTTACATTCTTTTATCCTCCTCTCCAGTCTCCATTACCATTGGAAAACAAGCAGTATTGAAGAAGACTGTTCTACAAAAATATATTTCTACAAGCTAATTTATAAAACTGTGGACAGGGGCTCAAGTTAAATTTTCCAATGAACATGAAATACTACTGAAATTGTGTTTTGTAAACATTTTAAAATTACTGTAAAATACAAATACAAATACATATAAGGTTGCTCGAATGTCAACTCGGTATATGTATGGTTTTCACTGTAGATTTTTCAAACCTACAAATTTTTTTATTCATCCTTGTTGTATAATTGTAGAGGATTTGCTGCAGTGTTACAAACCCTGACGAGTTTACGTATTCTAAACCGTGGTATTCCACTCTGCGAAGCTTTAGAGTATCAACAACTTATAGGAACATATTTAGTTTAAGTATTTGTTACCTCTTTTTCTTTTTAAAATGTAATAAAATCAGAAATATTTCTTTATCGGCTAAACTATTTACATACAGATGAATCCACTCGGCGGCCATCTAGAAGATTGCATCTAAAATCATTTCAGGTTTTTAATTTGAACTGATTAGTGATTACTCCCCTAGAACTAGAATTTTTTAATCCTTATAACTTTGCAACCTGATTTCGTTTATTTCAAACTTTAATTTAAATAAAAATGTCAAAGGTTTCCACCATCAGGTCAAAAAGATGTAGAATTCAAAAATAGAGTTTGGGACGAGTGATCAATTTCTCTTTCAAACTATCTAATTTGTTTGTATGTGTTTAATGGGTATTGATAAATAATTTGACTTGTTTGAGTTATCTTTAATTTAACTCAGGCGTCGGAGAAAGCACATTTCCACACAGATATTGAGATGGATTTACTTTACTCCTTCTGCTCCGAGATTGAGAAGATGATCTTCAAGTTCAACCCTGATATATTCTCAACCTATCTTAAACTAGCAGTTTTCCAGCATCTGAAACATCTAGGTAAACCTTGGAAGGTTAGAATCAGAGGCGTATTCAGGGGGGGGTTATGGGGGCTAAGCCCCCCCCTGGACCAGTGAAATCTATTGATTTCAGGGGGTTTACAGGCCCCAACGGGTGCTGAGCCCCCCCTGAAAAAGAGAAAAAAAATTTAAGCCCCCTCTGGACAAATTCCTGAATACGCCTCTGCTGTGCTATAAAATATATATTAATTGATTGATATATTTTTTCAACATATTTGAAAATAAGATTTAAATTAACTCAATAGTTTTATTTCTGCTTTTAAAAATCTAGAATAAGTCAAGTACACAAACTTTTCATTATATTGCCTAAAACACTATTATTTTGGTACGACGTGCTATAAAGTTTTGGACTTAAATTTTCTCTGTATCTCGTAGGTAAAAGGCTTGAACATTCTCGATAAAGATAAAATTTATGTCCAAAAACTTCGAACCAAAATAATAGTGTTATAAATAGTTTATTATTAGTCCTTTATTAGAAAGTAAATAATTTCGTTTTTTCCTTATATTTTGGTCACTGCAGTATAGTTGTACTTTTGTTATTTTAGAGCTCTCCAGGGATCTAGTTGATAATGATGCAGTTGTTCTTGAGGTAAAAAAAACATGCAACATATCACATGACTCTGCAACGTACTAAAATTTGCAAAAATTTGTTTTCCTCGGACTCTGAGAAAAGTTTTTTGTTTCATGATATCATATTATTATTATTATTCTTCTAAATGAAGAGCAAATTCTGATTCTCAGAAAATAAAGTGATGACAAATTTCAATGGAACTGGAATGCTTCTGCAATGGNTAATATCCATCTTTTAAAGAGACTGTATTCGGAATTTCAAGTGATCCTTCATTTAGAAAAGACCATTCCAATTACAGCGAACCCTTCAACCTTTATTTGATGAATATTTTGAATAACATCGTCATAATTTTTCTAGTTGAAAAAGCGTTTAATTCTTAAAATTTCCACCATCATTCCTGCAGGAGAAATCTCTTTCATTCTTGGTTAGTCAAAGCTGTTGAGGGTACCATTGTGAGTGGGGCATGTCTGCCAGACTCTTTTAATGGATTTTATCTTTTGAAATTACGACTACTTCAAAGAAATGAGGATATTGGAATTTTGAAAAGATTATTTATGTAATGCGCTTGACGCTTGTACCCTTGAACCTCTAAAGACCATATGATTTAATTAATTTTGTTTTGAAGACTGGGGATGTACTTTGGTATGTTTACGGACTCTGCAGGGAGCTGGGAGATGTACACCCACTACTGTACAGAAGGTACATAAAAGTATAAAGAATATGTATCTATATTGCAAGATAAGTCAAATATGTCTTTTAGTAAAATTTCTTTAAAAAATAAAAAAGTTAAACTCTATTTTACTAAAGAAAATGTGCTTTTTTATTTTGATATTTATTATTCATACAATGTAAATATTGTGCCAACATTATGCCAGGAAATTGGGATGACAAGCCGGGGAAATTAAAATGACAAACCTCTTCATTTTCATAACTACAGGGGAATATATTTAACCATTATTTGTAAATGATTTGTTAAAGGGTTACCCTCAAAGAATGAGACTTCAGAGAAGACTGTGCAGAATTTGTTTATTCACATCAGCCGAAACTGGCTTATTTCTAAGCTTTATAATTTGTTAAATCATTGGCAAAAACCAAAAATCAAGCTTTAAATTGTTATATTTTTAGAGTTTTGGGTCGTCTTTACAATCTCATCCTTTGTGGGTAACCTTGCATAATCAGGGATATAAAATATCGATAATTAATTCGTGAAATATATATTTACCCCTACCCCTAAGCATTAGAAAAATAAATACTTGAACAAAAATAACAAAGTAACAATAGTAAACACAATAATTTATAATGCTGAAACGAGGCTTAAAATTCATCATTCTTTAGAAAGTCTTGAAAATTTTTTGATAATTTGTTAAATTGTCATTATACAGAATTAATTTATTAAAAAATTTATGCCTGGCGCCGACTGGTTCAGGGAGGGAAGAGGGGGGGGGGGGTTAATGAATAAATCTATTTTAATGTTTTATAGATAATAATAAAATGTATTCTCTCCAAAACACTAGTTTTACAGAGCTCGCGATTTAAAAGCTTCGGCTCGAGTCGTAATTCCTTAAACCCGACTTTAAGACCCAATCTTCGACCCAACTCTAACGAGAGCTTGTGTCACGTGATTGACAGCAGCAAGATCTTAGGCTCGACTTAAGGAGTTAGGCCAAATGAAATTAAAACCGACCTCATAAAAACCATGGGAATGCGCCAATTCCTACCATAAAAAATCCGCCAAATAGAATATTAGACCGGTTTTTTTAATTCCACTCTGTGGAAAATAAGATGCAGCTTTTATACTGATTATAGGACCAATAAAACATGTTCATTGGACTGTTTTAAATCACAATTCGATTACGACAATTGTTATTCAATGCCACAGTTTTAAGTCTCACTGTAGATTGTTTTGTTAAGCTTGAATGTGAATGAAGAGTACAATAAAAATGACCTATTAGTCCTGGTTGGAACTCTGGCAGGTATTTGTTTATTTATTTTACAAATTATGCGGATAATGTCAAGAACATTTAATTCAAAAAAATTTATAAAATGTCTCTTTAACTTTTATATTAAGCCATAAACGGTTATTATTTTGACGTGAGATGAATTCTGTTTTTGCTTTTTGCAATTAATATGAATATAACATTTAAGCAATCGTGCTGTTAATGTGATTTGGGTCAAAGTTATAATTTGATTCTTACTGTCGTCTTCCTATTTCACAGTTATATGGGTTTCACTTTACGTTCCCTCCATATTTAATTTTTGAAGTGTATTTTAAGTTTGTTGTTGTTAGGTTCAATAAAGAAGATGTCGAGGGGTGACAAGCCTGAAGCGGAGTTTCTACCAAGAATACAGGTTGTTAGTAACGAGATTACATAATGTCGTCTTCTAACAAATGCATCGGATTTATAGCTGATTATAACTTGAATACTTTTAAAACAATTTTCAATTTTTATATTTTATTTAGGAAAACATTAATTGTTTGATGCATGCAGTTGATGGTCTCTGGTAAGTACAGCTTTGATCGTACAGTGTTACCCAGAAAATATGAGACTTAACTGACGACTTAGGATTCTTGAAATTGCATAAAGGTTGAATCAACTTTATGTTTCAATATTTTAAATGCTGTTATTTGATTGGCAAGGAAGAACTGATTTAATTGTTGCAATCGTCTTTGAAGTCCCATCCTTTGTGGTTAACTCTGAAGTGTAAAGAATGAACAGGGGAAAGAGGAGTCTGAAAAATTCATTAGCTTTGGAGTACTTTTGGAGACCCAGTCTCATTGGAGATCCTCATGGACGTCTCGTTGGAGACCCACAGATTTTTATTGGAGACCCCAAGCTTTTTTTGGAGACCCCCAGATTTTCAATAACAGATTTTTAATAACGGGGATTTTACAATTGGAGACCCTCAATCTCCAATAAAAATATGGAGGAATTCAATGAAAATCTACGGTCTCATGATAACATGGGGGTCTTCAATGAAAAGATCGGGGTCTTCAATGAAAATCTGGGGGTCTCCAATGAGATTCTGGGGGTCTCCAACGAGTCGTCCATGGGGGTCTCCAATAGTACTCCAATGCTGATGATTTTTTCCCATACTCGGGAGAGAGACGGGGGGGGGTGGGGCTGGTTCCATGTTCGGAATAAGAAGGGAAGGTCTAAATTGTAGAAAATAAGAGGGACGGTTTTAATCCTATAAATATAAAAAAGGGAAGGTCTGAATCCTCTAAAAAGTAAAATAGGAGAGAAAGTCTGAATTTCTGATTGGAGAAAGAAGGATGAGGATGGGGGGGGGGAGGTTTATTTTCTCTGTGAGGAAGAGGAGAAGAAAACTAATAGAAGTGTTTTGACTGTAAAATATCCTCGAAGAAGAAAACATTTAGAATTTGTGTTTGTCAACATCACGTCAATCTGTTACCCCAGCAGTTTATGTTCAAACACTTCATCAAACAATTTTTATCAAAAAGTTTGAAACTTTTCTAGTAAAATTAACAATTTTAGTTTTAGAATAAAATATTAATTATGGTTTGAATTGGTTCTGTTTAAGTGGTGTAAGCAGCCTGGAGGATTGTATGGAGAAGAATATAGAGAAGATAAATAAGAGGAAGGAGAAGGGAACTCTGAAAGGGGATGGAAGCAATAGATAGTTCATCATCTTGGAACATCCTCTGCTATGCCTAGAATTATTCATTTTTTTATCTAAAACATGGTTTGAACATCATGCAGAATTAAAGTATACGATTAACTCCATGAAAAATGGTGTCCAGCAATCGGTAAAAATATAATTACAATCTTTTTTGTAACAGAAAGCATAAAATTATTTGGTAATTTCACTTTAAAGATAGTGTACTATTTCACTTTAAAGATAGTGTACTATTTGTTATGTAAAATACTTCAAAACACCCTCGACCAACACCTTTAAGCACTGTACTATACAGTATTCATGAAACCTTAAACTACTGTACTATTCATCTGTACTGTACATCTGATTGTAATGTACTATACAATAAATACTTAAAAGGATTGCACTATGGCATGGAACACCCTAAAGTACTGAACTATACATGGAACACCCTAAAGTACAGAACCATACCTGGAACACCCGAAAGTACTGAACTATACATGGAACACCCTAAAGTAAAGACCCATACATGGAACACCCTAAAGTACGGAACTATAACATGGAACACCCTAAATTACTAAACTTTACATGGAACACCCTAAAGTACGGAACTATACATGGAACACCCTAAAGTACTAAACTATACAGGGAACACCCTAAAGTACTGAACTATACATGGAACACCCTGAAGTACTGAACTATACATGGAACACCCTTAAGTACTAAACTATACAGGGAACACCCTAAAGTACTGAACTATGCATGGAACACCCTAAAGTACTAAACTACATAGAACACCTGGAACACCCTAAAGTACAGAACTATACAGGGAACACTCTAAAGTACTGAACTGAAATATTCTGTAATATTATGAAACTTAAATATTTTTGTTTAAAACAAGTTTATTAAAGCATTGTTATACCTAGCTTCCATACTTGTGTAGAAAACATGGAAAATAAATGTAGAAGAAAACTATTAAACCTAATTTGACGAGTTTTCTCTACACTCTTCATTCTATTTTGTACAATCTACGTGTTAAAATCTTCTCGTCTTATTCCAGTTCAGATACTTCTTTTGCCAAGTTCAATTATGTACATGCAATCCTGAATTTAATCTTTCATTAACTAATGTATCACACACATCTTATAATTCTTTTTTAATTTAAAACCTAGATCTGTGTATTTAACCATTATAAAATATAAAACATTTTGTTCGGTGATACTAAAAACTGTGAATGTGGTGAGATAAGTTTCAGACCCATTACAATCTACATAGTTATATATCGGTCATATCTAATCAGGAAATGTATATGTATGTATATATCCTGAATCGCATTAAACTTTTATAATTTAAACTGAAGAATCTATTTTATTTATAAAATCATGTATCTAGTTGCAAAGATACCAGGATTAAAATTATGGGGTAAGGTGTTAACAAATGCTTAACTAATCTTTAAAAATGGCGACCGTGGTAACTTTTGCCATTACAATGTATACTGTGAGTAATTCCTGAAAAGTATAGGTTATAATCACCGCTTAAAGTTTCAAAACCCGCTTAAGAAGAAATAAATATTCTGTTCATGAACTTTTTGAGAGAAAAATAACGAAAGATTTAGGCTATAAAACCCGTCTAAATTGCGCTTTTTTTCAAAAATGTCATTAAGGTTTTTCTACTATTAATCGGTCAATTTTTCAAATTTTTCCGAAACTCCAACGATTTCAATTTCCTTGACAATTTCGAAGAAAATTATACATGGCAGGATAAAATCAAGAAAAACGTATTTTTGCGCAAATCAAGGAGTTATTGAAACTTCAGCAGCGTTTTCATTCTATAGTTAGTAAAATATTGAGATAAAATTTCATATGAGTACTCACAGTACAGAGTGCAAAAGGGGAACATGCCGCGCGACTTTTTTTCTGAAATTTGTCATACGTGGACAACTTATTCTGGGGGGTATACGTGGATACCTTATTCTGGGGGGTATACGTGGACACCTTATTCTGGGGGGTATACGTGGACACCTTATTCTGGGGGGTGTGCATCATTCAATTTCATTACATCTGTTATTTCAAAAAGAAACTTTTTATCAATCGCAATTTCTAAAGAAATTTTTTTTAGATTTGATATTCTAGGAAATATTTATTCACATGAATAGGTTTTAAGCGATTAAGAAATTTATCTCTAAATTAGTTTTATTTTATAATATTTTATAATATTAATTGTTATTATTTAGAAGCTGTTACAATTTCTTACAGCCAATAATTACTTCACTGCAAAACTAACAGAAAACATACATTTTTAGCATATGTTGGGTTTACTGATATATTGTTAGTTTAAAGTTTTATTGGTCGTGCAAATGTGTTTATTTAAGTTTTATCTTATTGGCATATTCACATTTTTCATATCTACTTTACTTGCAGGGTGTCCCACGAACCAAGACAGTTGGTGAATAGTTTTGAATGTGTTCTTCCATATACTGGATTAGATATTAAAGACTGTTTGCTTGTTTATTTAGTTTTATAACACTTAACTCAAATATATTTTACCCAGAATTCAATTTTACTATAATCATGGTACCATAAAATATTTATTATTATTCTCTTTGGTAACAAACAACTTGACATATTATGGAAGAAGACTTTTTTTAACTATTCACCAACTTTCATGTTTCGTGGGACACCCTGTACTAAAGCCAAGAGAGAAGGATTTTATATGCTGGGCCGGTCACGGACCTCTGTTCCTTTAGTAAAAGTAAATTCAACCAAAAGTCTGACAGCGTCAACCTTGTTGCACCGGCTAGTCCTATTGAGTGTCTGCTTTATTTACCCAATGTCCGGGCGATACAGTACAAACTAGGACCTGAAAAATTAACCCGACACCAAAGTAAGGTTGGTCTTCATTACTAACACTATCAATACATCAAAATCAATAAAAAACAAGACATCCAAATTAGTTGGTACAATTCAAGTAAATTTTTTAGCTTTTAAATCGTCTTTTTATTCCCCCGTTTTCCGTTATGTAAGCTGCATTTTCGAACGTTTTAGTTATGTAAACTGCATTTTGAAACGTTTTAGTTACGTAAACTGCATTTTGAAACGTTTTTATTATGTAAACTGGATTTTCGAATGTTTTTATTATATAAACTGCATTTTCGAACGTTTTTGTTATGTATACTGCATTTTGAAATGTTTTTGTTATGTAAACTGCATTTTGGAATGTCTTTCAAATGAATAGATGATGAATAGATATTTTTACGTCTGAATTAAGATAGATAAAATTATTATCTGAGACGGAGAAATGAGATAGAAAGTCAATTTATTTTTTATTGCAACCACTGGATGTAAACAAATTTACTAAATAAATAGATATCAACCGAGTAGAGCAAATAGTCCTTTGACGTAAGTCGTCTGGTAAAGCATCATGTTCCTATTTATAATCTATCCAGATTGTATCTAGTTAATCTATTTTCTTGAACTTTAGCCTGATTGGTTGATCAGGTTTGTTTATCAGCAATGAGACAGTATCCAGGTCCTTGGTTCCAGCCCAGCTCCAGGAGAACCTGGAGACCATGTTCATGAGTAGAACCTGGAGGGAGATCTCGGCAATATTTTTACCTAATATATTATATTTCACACATTTTTAAATTGGTATTAATCCATTTTGAATTTTATGAAGGACTGGTATGGGAAACCAAACTTTGACTAGAAATCCAAGTATTTACATCAATAAGCTTTGTATTTTAGAACCAAGTACAGAACATTCCTCTTGTTTTACCAAGTTGCCCAATTTCATATTTTGGGGCAAATCGGTTAAGACGTTCCTGAGCTATGATCAGATTTGCAAATAAACAGACAGACAATGTAAATAAGAATATTTGGTTTGTTTAAGCCCTTGCTCCTATTTTTTCCTATTTTGTTGGAGAATAAAAGTTTATTTAGAAAAGATGTTTTATGATTTATTGCTGCAAAGATTGAGTTTGAAAACTGTACGCGGCAGGATTTGAAAACAAATGGACCATATTTACAGGAATAAATATAAACCTATAAGCTAAAATAGATATTAAAGTATTTGTGTCTTTAGGAATTTTTTTGTTTACATTTTTTAAATTAAAATTTTTCGGTATTTTTCATCTTTCGAAAATAATTTTGTGTTTAAAGATTATTTTTTTAAATTTCATTTCGTAAAAAGTATTAAAAATAGGATTTACCAATGCACTGTCGGATTCCATATCCAAACGGAATGGAAATGAAGGGATCTACTTCCTTGTGCATTATCTCGCCTAGAAACAACAGGATTCGGATTCTTCTTTTTTAAAACAAAAACAGGATTCGGATTGTTCTTTATTAAAACAAAAACAGGATTCGGATTGTTCTTTATTAAAACAAAAACAGGATTCGGATTGTTCTTTATTAAAACAAAAACAGGATTCGGATTGTTCTTTATTAAAACAAAAATATGAGTTAGGATCTCGTTATAAAGTAAAAAGTTATTAAAGATCTCTTTTTTAAACAATAATATTTTCAATTTATAATCTCTTATTAAACAAAAATATAATTAAAGATTATAATCTTAAACAAAAATATCATATTATGTTCCAAGATCTCTTTTAGAACAAAACATTATTCATGATTCTGCTTCAATCTTTCTTGAATCAAAATAAATCGTTCTTTTTTCTAGCAATTCTGTGTTTATTTTTATATTGTTTAATACTTGAAAAATAAGTACTTTTGTATATAAGTTTTACCTTCAATCCATCTCTCTGGTATAAATGAGTTTGGTTGTTCAAAAAATTCCGCAAATCGACAAATAACCTAAAATATTCTCGAGTGAAACGTTTTCTATACCTTTCCCCAACATTGTTTAAAGGGCAATATTCAAAAAAAAATATTTCCCGAGAGGCATTCAACGTTATAGGGGCGTGGTTTGGTTACAATGCTCTTTTCATCTGAAAATTAATCATTTGAAACCAACCAAAATATTTTCAAACAAAAATACTCTAGTACATAGGGTGTCTCAATAAACTCGGGAATTAAACGGAGTGTTCGCGAACAATGTAAAAGGGTATAGGCTTACGTCGAAAAATATTCGATGGTGTTTGCTACTAATATTATTTTCTATCTGTTGAGCCTGTAAGGATTAAATGGTTAAACACGACTCATACCAAAGAATGTAGCGTCCATACAAATTCACAAAGTTGCAATATTCGACTCGGATCGTAAAAAAAAAAAAATTTAATCCCAGACAAATCATTCAGACATGACAACCTATAATTATCGATTTTTGTCAACGCATTCGTACATAATTTATATTTCATAATATTCTTCTATTTATTTTATATATGATGCAATTTGAACGACGAATAGTTCGCCGCCAGGTGTCTCTCTCTGCTGTCGATGCTCTGAATGGTTCCACGTGGCAGAGATACCTCGCGGACAAAAATTCGTCGTTTTAAGTGCATTGTATACAAAACAAATAAAAAAATTATTTAACATCAGCTTGTTAACCATTAATTTCAAAACCTCTATAAAATGTCGTCTTCTACTGGAATCTCCTGTCGGAGACAGCCAAACCAAATTTTCAGCCCGCAAATTCCATTGTCCTCCTCCGACGGAGCTTAAAATATTTTGTTGTTGTGAAATCATTAAAGTTAAGCAAAATATTTTCATAAGAAGCATAAGTGAATTTCGTTAAATATTCAACTGTAATTTTTCAGAAGTTAAAAAAAAACGTATATCAATACTGATCAACAAATAAGTCACCCCTTCTATACTTAAATAATTCGTAAGATTTTTTCTACTATTAACATTCATTATAACATTGTACAATTAAACATGACCTATAATTTATGTTATTTTTTAGGAAATAAAGATTTTGTTATCGAATTTCTGTGACGGGGTTACTCTGTTGTGTGTGTATTGTTAGGCCATCGGGAAAGAATCGTCTGGGGATAATAAACACCCCTTTCAAAATCCTAACCGGCCTATTATCCGGATTTGTCTAGCGTGTTGCTGTTATCTGTCAACACAGCTATATACGAATGTGTCGAAGAAAAAATCGATGATTATAGATAGTTTGTAATATCTGATTGTTTTTTCGAATTAAATTGATTTTTTTTACGATCCTTGTCGAATATAATAAGTTAATTAACTTTGTGAATTTGTATGGACGCTACGTTTCTCCCTAAAGCAACAGATATAAGTAAAATTAGTATACTAATCACAATCTAATATTTTTCGACGTAAGCCTGTACCCCCTTTCATTTTTCACGAACCCTCCCTTTAAGGGACGAGTACAATTAATTGACCCATTGTAAGCTTTTCAAAATGTGATTTACTTTCTTGGTTTTATTAAAAAAGACGTAGAAATCTATATTCAGACAATTTAGATTTTATTTTCTGTATTAAATACATTTTAAAAATTATATTAATACAATGAAGACAACTTTTTATGTAAGTTTTGATTGTTCACAAGCTTTTTACGAATTATGAGTTTACAAGAAATCAAAAAGCTTTTTTATTTTCTAATTGACAGCTTCTCTCAACTCAACTCAATTATGAGTAATCATAAATTTAAAATCTAAAGTCGTCTTCATTGTATTGATATAATCGCCTACTGCTGCACACTGTACCAAAACTACTGGGTTCAGGATAAAACATCGTGCATATTAACGAATTTTTAGGGTCGTTATTGTGTTCCTTTTTTTTTGGGAACACTTCGTATTTGAATATGATCTACTCCTTTTTAGATCCACTGTTGGCTCTAATGCACAAGTCCCTGGGGTTTTATATATTTAAAAAAATGAAGAAATATTTCTTTCAAGCTTATTAAATTATTGTCATCATGGAGAAGGTAGAGTTTTATCTCAGATAAATTCAAATTTTCAAATATGTGTCACTCGGTTTAAATATCTTTTATTCAACTCTTAAAAACATTGAAAAGTTGGTTTTAAGAACGGAATTAAGTCTTTGTCACAAACTCTAATTTTCAAATTCTTAGTCTTTGGAATTCAATGTCATAGAACTTAAATATTTGAAACTTTGAAGTCTTGTACATCAAATAACCTAAGTTTCAAACATGTAAGGTTTTCACATGCATCAGATTGTAAATTAAAATATACGGATTGGAAAATTTGAAATGAGAAAAACAAAAAAATTCCAGAATAATATGGTACCACTGAGCAGAAAAAAAGATTGAGATATAAGCATCTTCTGAAAATTGACTGTTTGAATTGCGGTTCTTCTAGAAAAATTTTTGCAGCACACAACGATGGAAATAGTCAAAATATATATTTAGCACAACACGAAAACGGTGATATCTTTATAATTGATTTAAAAGATAACGTTTTAAAAAGGACATGTATTTCAGTAATGATGTCGCAAGTAATTTTGAAAAAATGGAATTGTTAGAAGAAACCATAAAAGTTTGTATAACCTGGTTCTGCGTGACTGCAAGGGTTCCCTTAGGAACCAGATACCCACCTGTTCACGTCAATCCGTTCTGATAAAGGACGGCCTAAAGGATCGTCTTGATCTTTGATTGCAATCTGATTATTCTAATGGCGAAATATGTTTTTTAAAAGTTTAAAGACGATCGTTTATGGGACTTCTTTGTATAATTTCAAAATAATAATTTTAGAAATTCAGGTTTTTCAATAGTTTTTCCGAACGGATGACTTTCCTAGAACAGTATCCTCTGGGAGAATACGTCCAACACCAACCGATACTGGGTTCAGTCGTAAAGATTCCTAAAAAAAACTACTGTGTTTTGCGTGTGTAGTATCGTTAATCTTGAACGCTCATCAGGCTAAATATGTTATTTTGTCCCATCATCAGGCTAAATATTAATATTTTGTCCCATCATCAGGCTAAATATTAATATTTTGTCCCATCATCAGGCTAAATATTAATATTTTGTCCCATCATCAGGCTAAATATTAATATTTTGTCCCATCATCAGGCTAAATNAACCAGAGGTCGAAACTATTGAATGGAATGGCGCTGATCTAAAACCAGAGGTTGAAACTATTGAATGGAATGGCGCTGATCTAAAACCAGAAGTTGAAACTATTGAATGGAATGGCGCTGATCTAAACCAGAGGTTGAAACTATTGAATGGAATGGCGCTGATCTAAAACCAGAGGTCGAAACTATTGAATGGAATGGCGCTGATCTTAAATCAGAGGTCGAAACTATTGAATGGAATGGCGCTGATCTAAAACCAGAGGTCGAAACTATTGAATGGAATGGCGCTGATCTTAAACCAGAGGTCGAAACTATTGAATGGAATGGCGCTGATCTAAAACCAGAGGTCTAAACTATTGAATGGAATGGCGCTGATCTAAAACCAGAGGTCAAAACTATTGAATGGAATGGCGCTGATCTTAAACCAGAGGTCGAAACTATTGAATGGAATGGCGCTGATCTAAAACCAAACTATTGAATGGAATGGCGCTGATCTAAAACCAGAGGTTGAAACTATTGAATGGAATGGCGCTGATCTAAAACCAGCCCAAGCACCAGAATGGTAAATTTTTAATTTAAAATATTTAGGTGTCTAATCCTTGAAAAGCTGCAGTGCAGCTGACTCGTAATCGACCTTTAGAGTTATTCAAAAAGCCAAACAAAAAACTTTTTTGTCGGTCCGTTCTACAAGACAACTTTAAAAATGCAAAAAATTTAATTTTTCGATTTTTTATATTTTCAATTAATCCGATAATCTTTTTTTTATGGATTTACCTTTAAGCAGGCCTTGGCGTAAACAGCTCTGTGAAGATATTCTCGTGATATTTCTCCGAATTCAGATTTTAATTCCAAGCATTCATTTCTTAATCTTTCCTTCAACATATGTAATTATTGTTTCATATTGGAAATTGGATAGATAGATGATAAGTTGGTTAGATAGATAGATAAGAGAAGGAGATATGTTAAGATAGATAGATAGATAAGATGAGGAGATAGTTAGATAGATAGATAAGAAAAGGAGATATGTTAAGATAGATAGATAAATAAGATGAGGAGATAGTTAAATAGATAAATATATAAGATGAGGAGATTTTTACATGGATGGATAGATAGATAGACAGATAAATAGATAAGGTTAGGAGATGATTAGATGGACATACAGATAAAGTTAGGAGAGGGTTAGTTGGGTAGATAGATAGATAAATATTTAGATAAGATGAGGAGATGGTTAAATAGATAGATAGAGAAGGCAAGGATCAATGGTTAGATAGATAGATAGATAAGATTAGAAGATGGTTAGATGGATAGAAAGATAAGATGCTTGAGATGGTTAGAAAGATAGATAGATAAGATGAGGAGATGGGTAGATGGATAGAAAAATAGATAGATAAGATGAGAAGATGGTTAACTAGATAGATAGATAAGATGAGAAGATGGTTAGATAGATAGATAGATAAGATGAGAAGATGGTTAGATAGATAGACAGATAAGATGAGAAGATGGTTAGATAGAAAGAAAGATAAGATGAGAAGATTGTTAGATGGATAGAAAGATAAGATGCTTGAGATGGTTAGAAAGATAGATAGATAAGATGAGGAGATGGGTAGATGGATAGAAAAATAGAAAGATAGATAAGATGAGAAGATGGTTAGCTAGATAGATAGATAAGATGAGAAGATGGTTAGGTAGAAAGATAGACAAGATGAGAAGATGGTGAGAGGGATAAAGTATGATTGCTATTTAATGAGACCTGATCCTGTAATTCTCAATTTCTGAAAGTCAGAACTGTGAAGATGAAGACATTATAATCCCTTTCTTAATTTTCAAGAATGATTTAGCATATTTTGTAATTTGCTACTCATGCTCTACACTTCTTTAATAATAATAATAATAATAATAATAATAAGCACAAGGTGCAGGCTGTATTTTGGTATTTTTTCTTAACGGGAATTTTTTTTTATTTGACCATTTTAACTTTATCAGCTAATTATTTATTTGAGTATCTAACGAAACCGATCTTAAAGAATTATGAAATGACGACCAGTCCGTTTTGAGATGTTGATATACTCTGGGAAAAAGTAGCTTTGATAGCTTTGAGATGTTGATATAGTAGCTTTGATATAGGGGAAACACATTGTTAAACCAACTGTGAATGATTTTACAAGCTACGAACACTAATCAAATCAACCAACCCTTATAACTTTAATCAAATTTTCTTTAAATATATCAACCAAAGCCTGTATATTGTTAGCTAGGTTGTAGAGAAGGAAGGAAAAGGTATAGGAGCTGGTATATATCTACCTGAGCCTGTATATTGTTAGCTAGGTGGTAGAGAAGGTAGGAAGGAGAAGGTATAGGAGCTGGTATATATCTACCTGAGCCTGTATATTGTTAGCTAGGTGGTAGAGAAGGAAGGAGAAGGTATAGGAGCTGGTATGAATCCCTGCAAGGAGGAACTCTGCCGCTCCCGTCATTATATCCTTGTCATTTAAACCAGTCGAGGATAACCAATGATCCAGTAAAGTTCTTGGGCAGTCTTCCTACAATTAGCAATTAAAGGCTGCAACTTATGTTTCTTTATATATATAAAGGGAGTGACAGGCAAGGAAGGATAGTTGATCTGAGAGTGTTCAATTTTAGAATAAAATGATAGGATTTATCTTATATCAGCAATATATTCTTACGCTCTTATGCAACAATAATACAACGTGAAAAATATATCACTGATATTATCCTTATCCTTTAATCTCTAATGCTACACTCTCAGTTCAATAACCCCACGAGGCCTGCCACTCCCTTAAAGGGAGTGTTCGCAAAAAAAGGGGGTATAGGCTTAATGCGATAAAAAAGCGCTTTTGATCGCTACTAATCTTACTTCTATCTGTTGCGTCTTTAAGGAGAAAATTGTTAAAGACGTCTCAAAATTGAGAAAATTGCAACATACTACTTAGACCGTAAAAAATCAATTTAATTTCAAACAAATCATTTAGATATTACAACCTTTAGTCCTCGATTATCTTTCGCCACATTTGTATATAGTTTATATTCTATAATATTTTTTGATTAATTTGTTTGTTTCTCTTGTCGCTTGCGCAACTATCCTAGAATGCCGCACACCACTCACAGTTTTCGAAATCCGTTAAAAACGTTATCTAAAAAAAAATAGTATAAAATATAAACTATATACAAATGTGGCGAAAGATAATCGATGACTATAGGTTGTAATATCTAAATGATTTGTATGAAATTAAATTGATTTTTTACGGTCCAAGTAGTATGTTGCAATTTTCTCCATTTGTATGGGCGCTAAGTTATTCGGTATGAGACGTGTTTAACAATTTTCTCCTTATAGACCCAAAAGATAGAAGTAAGATTAGTAGCGATCAAAAGCGCTTTTTTATCGCATTAAGCCTATACCCCCTTTCATTTTTCGCGAACACTCCCTTAAATGTTATGACATTTTTTTGACTCCTTTCAAAATTTGAGTATCATGTATTTTTTATCTGAATAACAATAAATTGAAAAATGTGTAGTTCCCATGACTTCTAGTACCTGCATATGCTGGGACTTTTTGTCTTGAATTAGTTGACTAGATATTTTTTCTATATACTCCTGGCTTTCTCGGATCATTCTAAACCATGTATTCGACATTAATATTGTCATTTATATAAATAAAATCCTGTAAGGTACAGGGTGTCCCACGAAACACGACAGTCGGTGTATAGTTTAAAATGTCTTCTGTTGTTTGATACCGAAATGAATGATAAAAAATATTATATGGCAGTCATATCATGGTAAAATTGATATCAAAATAAAATATATTTTTGTAAAAGATTTTTAAACGAAATATGCCACAAAAAGTCTTTAACATATATACAGTCATGTTTCGTGGGACTGCACCCTGTACTTTCCCAAAGGCTTTTTCCCAAGCGGTAACTTCCCAAGGGTATTTTCCCAAGTGGCAACTTCCCAAGTCTGTCCTAGCTGCAGCGCTCGGCCCCACCCCCTAGCCCATCCTAGCGCAGCGATCGGCCCTCATTGCAGCCTTCGGTGCCTCAGAAGGCCTAATCTAACCTTTGGGAAGTTGCCACTTGGGAAGTCGCCCTTGGGAAAATACCTAAGAACATATAATTTTTAATCCATAAAATATTTACTTGAATGGTTTGGTTTCCCATATTTTCCAGGTTGGAAGATTGTTGTCAGTTTCAAGAATCTTATCATTTGTTTCCTCTGCAGCCTTTATCAATCTAAACATAAAATAATATTTATAGCATTTTTAAAATCCTTTCTCAGTTCTTTCTAATCCTGAAGATTCAATATAGCCCTGGCTTCCTACCTGTATGGAATAGAGGATTCAGTTCAATACCCGCCCCCTTAATACTAAACTTGTGGGCCCTGGCTTCCTACTTGGAATAGAGGATTCTTTGAAGAGGATTCTGTAAACTATTCAACCTGAGAATAAAGTTCTAGAGAATCCTACTCTTAACTCACAAATCTGTCCAAATTGTGAAAATATGATTCGAATTCAAGATTTCATACCAAAATTTATTTAAGTTTTCAGAAATGTGATTTTCAAATCAGGGTTTGAAATAGAAATCCGTTTGTTAATACTTTATGCTTCGGAGAATCAAAATCTATCTATCTATCTTAAATAAATCCATGGATTTTCAAGTGGCTGCATCTCACAAGAAACTACCAATTTAAAATTTAACGTAGTTCTTCTATGTGTACTAGGTTGCATGATGAGAGTGCACACTTGCAACCAAAGTGGGGGGGGGGCGCTCTGGAGAATACCTTGTATCAAATGTAACTACTCCTGTCATCTCCAAGAAGACCCGGTTTAGATGATCCAAAAAGTCGTCTTTGTTCACACATATAAAATGGCGGTCCATATACTCTACAAATTCCTCAGCCACTAGGTTCAGGCTGGAGATAAGACCAGAAATGGAGGTTCTGTTTGCAGGTTTTTGAAGCAGGGTTCTAACCCGTCTCCATTCTGCTCCATTTGTGGGCAACAGACCTAAAGCCGAGGACATTCAATAAATTGAAAATAAAAAATTGAAAAAAATCCAACTTTAGGACTGTCATTGGGTTTACAGAAATGTTATATAGATCTATAGAAAAAACTTTCCCCAAAGGGATTGTCCAGTGCCCATCTAATTTGAAGTGGCCACTTACTTTAGGTCTGCCATAACAGTTGGCAAAGGTTCTCTTTTAAACTTTTTGACTGAAAAATAAGCAATTGAAAATGGACATAATTTACCACGTTTCAGATTTAATAAACCCAATTAATTATATACAATCGTTTCTCAGAAAAGGTGAATATTGTTAGTGGTTTATAGCAGTTAAATTCACGTTAACGGTCTCATTGTTTAAAGCTCCTAAAAGTCCGTGTTCTAAATGTGTCAAGATATGAATGAATAAGAAAAGTCCGTGTTCTAAATGTGTCCGGATAGAATGAATAAGAAAAGTCCGTGTTCTAAATGTGTTCGGATAGAATGAATAAGAAAAGTCCGTGTTCTAAATGTGTCCGGATAGAATGAATAAGAAAAGTCCGTGTTCTAAATGTGTCTGGATAGAATGAATAAGAAAAATCCCTGTTCTAAATGTGTCCGGATAGAATGAATAAGAAAAGTCCCTGTTCTAAATGTGTCTGGATAGAATGAATAAGAAAAAGTCCCTGTTCTAAATGTGTCCGGATAGAATGAATAAGCTTCCTCCCTGTTGTTGAATATTTCTGAGGTCTAGAACTCCTGCAGTAAAATAAAACAAGTTAAACCCTTGAATAATTTAGTTTGAATTTTCTATAATAGTTTCAACTCTACATACTTTAACTCAGTAAAACTCCTAGGATGCTTTAATCCCAAGCTAGATAGAAGATTGCATTGCATTTAGAATATTACGTCCATAGATTAATAACACAGATAGAACACTTGATGTCGTCTTTTTAAGATTTAGGGGTTTTTCTTTCACAATAACCCTGTGGCAGAAGCTCCAAGGAGTTACAGCGCATGCCGCGTTGAAGGACAAGACAGAGAGAAAGCATGCACCTAACTCCTTTGAGCGTCTGCCTCAGGGTTATCGTGATCACATAAAAATACGGCATCTAGTGTTGTATCTTTAATGTTATTGAGCTATGAGTTCGCCATTTATCTGGACTAACATTGATAAAATGGTGACATATAACTTCTCTCTAATGAGGCGCAACTGGTGTAATCTGTAAGGGAAGGGTAGAAGATGTTATTTCGTGTATTATAGTTCTAAATAAAAGTGCGCCAAATTTCTACCTGTAATACGCAAGAGCAGTGTGACTTCTGCGGCTTGGGTATTTCCCCTCCTTGTTAAACACTGTCCTGAATAATGATTAAATATTTCTACTCCTTAAGTTAAAAACTGTCCTGAATAATAATAAGATATTTCCCCTCCTTATTAAAACTGTCCTGAATAATAATAATTAAATATTTCTCCTCCTTATTAAAAACTGTCTTGAATAATAATTAAATATTTCTCCTCCTTGTTGAAAACTGTCTTGAATAATAACTACATATTTCTCCTCCTTATTGAAAACTGTCCTGAATAATAATTAAATATTTCTCCTCCTTGTTAAAAACTGTCCTGAATAATAATTAAATATTTCTCCTCCTTGTTAAACTGTCTTGAATAATAATTAAATATTTCTCCTCCTTGTTAAAAACTGTCTTGAATAATAATTAAATATTTCTCCTCCTTATTGAAAACTGTCATGAAAAATGTTCAAAATATTTCTCCTCCTTATTGAAAACTGTCATGAAAAATGTTCAAAATATTTCTCCTCCTTGTTGAAAACTGTCATGAAAAATGTTCAAAATATTTCACCGAATAAACAATAATGAATTTTCTCGCCCCACAATATTGGAATCAATATTTTCTATTAGGCCTTTGAAAAGATAAATTATTTTCTAAATCATGATTTGCTTTTTCAATCCCTTTTCCTCTATAAAGTTCACTACATACATCAAAAATGATGCAGGGGGAGGGAGGGGGCGGTAACAAGAAAACTGATCTAAGTCATAAAAAAAGGCCAGTCACTCCTGGGTTTTTTGGCCGGCTTGCTCCATTCATTTCATGTCTTTAACAAAATTGAAGAAAAAAATTATTAAAATGTCAATGTTAACAATGTTAATTTTATAAACAATTTTATTTTACAATATATTTTTTTTAATAATAATATTACTATATAAAAATATTATTTTATAAAGAATAAAATTATTATTTTTTTCAACAATTTTATTTCGAAAAAAAGTCATTCTCTTGTAATAAAACAATTTTATTCAAAAAAACAAATGAAATAAAATTAGATAATTATGTGATCATATTGTATGCATAGCATTATTGGTTACATTATGTTATCATATTACAATAATTATATTCGTTAAACCAATTATGTTATTATGTACACAATATTGTTATTATGTAAACAATATATTGTAAATATGTTAACAAAAATGGTATTACGTAAACTTTAATGCTATATTATATAAAAATAATATTATTATTATGTAAACCATATATTGTTATAATGTAAACAATATATTGTTATTATAAATAAAGATAATATTATTAATTTATTATTTATTAATTATCAATGATATTCCTTTGATCTTCCATTCCAATGCAATCTGTTAAGCGAATACTTTCTAAATAGAATATTAATCAAATAAAGTTACTCCTATAGAAGTAAGATTAGTAGCGATCACCATCGATCATTTTTCGCCGTAAGCCTATACCACCTTTCATTTTCGCCAACACTCCCTTTCAGAAGCACTATGTTGTCTATAATAAATTCGAATTATACTTTCTGATAAATGTGTTTGCAAAATGCAATATTGCACGTTGCAAAGAGTTAATATTTTTCATTTCAACAAACTATTATTAATACAAACATTGACAAATAAGTTCAAAAAATTTTCTTCATTTCCAGCAGAAAAGAAATATAATATTTTTCAGGAGAAAAGGAAATAAAGAAAATAAACAAATGAACGGAAATTAAATACATTCATTTATTTTGGGACAACTGATGATATTTCCAGGAAGGGTGGGGTGGAGGGAAGGGTGTAATAAATTAAGAATTTTGAGAATCTCCCCATCCAACATTATTAATAAGTATGTTGCAAAAGTAAAAGTAGTTATAGATAAAATAGAAGGTAAAACAGTAGATTTAGATGAAAAAGACGAAGATATAGATGAAATAGAATGATATATAAATAAAATAGAAGTAGATATAGATAAAATAGAAGAAGATATAGATGAAATAGAATGAGATATAGATAAAATAGAAGTAGATAAAGATAAAATAGAATGAGATATAGATAAAATAGAAGTAGATATGGATAAAATAGAAGTAGATATGGATAAAATAGAAAGAGATATAGATGAAATAGAATGAGATATAGATAAAATAGAAGTAGATATAGATAGAGGTAGGGTTCCTATAGATGGATATCTTACTTGTAGTATATAGAGAGGTAGGGTTTCTATAGATGGATATCTTACTTGTAGTATATATAGAGAGGTAGGGTTCCTATAGATGGATATCTTACTTGTAGTAAATATATAGAGAGGTAGGGTTCCTATAGATGGATATCTTACTTGTAGTATATATAGAGAGGTAGGGTTCCTATAGATGGATATCTTACTTGGAGTATATATAGAGATAGGGTTCCTATAGATGGATATCTTTCTTGTAGTATATAGAGAGGTAGGGTTCCTATAGATGGATATCTTACTTGTAGTATATATAGAGAGGTAGGGTTCCTATAGATGGATATCTTAATTGTAGTATATATAGAAAGGTAGGGTTCCTATAGATGGATATCTTACTTGTAATATATATAGAGAGGTAGGGTTCCTATAGATGGATATCTTACTTGTAATATATATAGAGAGGTAGGGTTCCAATGATCGGATATGAGGGTGGTCCTGGCATACTGGAGAACGGTTTCGAACTAAAATCCTGAAAGTAATAAATTTTGAATATTATTCCGATAAAATGATTCCTGAAACCCAACCCCAAACCCAAACACCAGCATATTTTTGAGAGATGTGGCCGGTCGAATTGCTCGGACCCCTTAGCCAGTTCAAGCTTTGGGATGCTCGGACTTGTGTCCTATCCAAAATATTGAATTAAGAAGAATTTCTCACGTTGAAAAAAGTAACCATTGATAAATTGAAATAAAATAAATTTGTCTTTTTGTTTCGACATCCTCCTTTTACACTTGAAAAAATGGTTTGAAATTTAACTTTTCTTTTCAAAAAATTTCTGATATTTGAACATCAAATAGATTTTCAAGTACGATAAGTAGCAACAAAGAAATGGACCAATTATGCACGACGTCACAAGTGTCAAATATAACAAAAAACGAAATTTTCTCACATATTTATTAATAATGTTAAGTTGTCGGACACAAAAACTAAGTTGACACTTGCGACGTAAGAATACAACTGTACTGAGAGTTTAAAAATTCTACTTTGCTATTAGAATCTATTTGGTGAATATAAATTCATTACAACATGCGAAAAATTTTGCAAAAATTAGAACATCTTAGAACACTGTCATTAAACTGAATTTTTTAAAGAGAAAATTTGATCCAAAAAATTAACAATGAACAAATGAACGGTATAAGTGGCTTGAAGTGCATCTTTAGCTACCCATATAAACGTATCTTTATATAAATGATATCTACTGATCTCCCCGCATCATCTCTATGATTTTTAATTCCTAAGTTACTAAATAAGATTTAATTTTTTGAACGTTGTTTTAATTTGCTTAAATTTAACATTTTGCTTGTGCAGACAGTATTTGCCATTTTAGAATGAAATAGGTTCACCTTTCTAAAAACTCATAAAACTGATTGTAAACTTTTAATTTTCAACCCATTTTCCATCATAAAAATATTAGATTCAAGCAAATAGATTATAATACAATAGATGGCAAAGTAGAATTTGTACACTTTTGCAGTACAATACAACTGTATTCACATCACAAGTGTCAACTTAGTTTTTGTGACAAAATAATTAATAATAGTGATAATTTTAGAATAAAGTGCTTATCTTACAGTTTTAACACTTTTTTATTTCATCTTGGATAACATGTCAACAAATGTGAGAAAATTTCGTTTTCCTTGTTATATTTGATACTTGTGACGTTGTGTATAATTAGCCCATTTCTCTGTTGCTATTTATTGTACTTGATCATCTATTTGGATTCAAGCATGTTTAGAATTTGTCTCTCTGCAATTATATCTTACTTTATTTCCCTTTTCCCTTCTGCGCCTGCGAACTATAAAATGTTGGATACAGAGGAAAAGAATGAAAATTGAAATCAGTAAGAACAAAAACATTTTATTGGATTCACTTGGACAATATGTAAATACAACTGAATGGTTGGTATGTTCGTGGTATTTCAATTCAAGGGGTCCTCCAGAGCTAGAAGAATATTAAAATATTACTAAAGCTGTGCAACTTATACAAGAGAAGGAGGTTTACTACAATACTAGGCTTTTTGAGTGCTTTGGTCCTTTTTTTAAATAACAATTTTTTGCCGTATTATTCAGATTGGTGCATTTCCAAAATAATAAATGTCGACATTTTTTGGGGAAAACTTTTTAAATTTCTTTCGTGCATTAACCTTTCCCCGAGGTCATGCGAATTGCCAACACAAAGGAAATGAGTCTTTGCCACGAACTCAAATTTTCTAATCCTTTTATCTATAAATCCAGAAATGCAAATTGTTGATATTTCCACCTTAGATTATTTGATCTAACAGTATTCACAGTTAGAAATATCTAAGGTCTACGACATTGGGTCGCAAATATGTAGGAATTAGAAAATCATAGTTTGTGGCAAAAACTCAATTCCTTCGGGCCCGTTCGGTTCAGTCGTATTTACGTTTATCAAATACAGACAGACAAGCAAACTATTATAAAAAGTAACTATCAAGATTCTACATTGCTTAAAAGCCTAAAAATTAGTTTGACATTTATTAAATGATATCAAACATATTTCGAGATACATTGTTTCGAAATTTAAAACATGTTCCGCTGCTTGGGAAGAAGTTATCATCATCGAACTAAAATCCAACCCCTGCTGTGAACTAACAGAAGACGGTCAAATTTAGCTGACATTACTGTATACGACCTCGACCTCGCTTTGGTTTTATGCATAAATATGAAAAAAAATTCATCCAAATACATATCAGAAATATAAAAACATTTTAGTTCTTCTCAATACCTGTAATAAATACCGTAGATCAATGATTGTGTACATTGTCCGTAAATGTAAATATTTCCTAAAAAAAATATTTTCTTGAAGAAACCAATATTTCCTCGGAGAAACCAATATTTCCTCGGAGAGACCAATATTTTTCTCGGAGAGACCAATATTTCATCGGAGAAACCAATATTTCATCGAAGAAACCAATATTTCCTCAGAGAAACCAATATTTCCTCGGAGAGACCAATATTTCCTCGGAGAAACCAATATTTCCTCGGAGAAACCAATATTTCCTCGGAGAAACCAATATTTCCTTGGAGAAACAAATATTTCCTCGGAGAAACCAATATTTCCTGGGAGAAACAAATATTTCCTCAGAGAAACCATGATTCCTCGGAGAAACCAAAACTTTCTCAGAGAAACCAATGTTTACTCATAGAAACCAATTTTTTCTTGAAGAAATCAAAATTTACTCGGAGAAAGAAATCTTTCCTCGGAAAATCAATATTTCCTCCGAGAATACAGTACATCCTCACAGATGACAACATTTCCTCGGAGAAATTAATATTTCCTCAGTGAAACCAATATTTTCTCGGAGAAACCAATATTTTCTCGGAGAAACCAATATTTTCTCGGAGAAACCAATATTTCCTCATAGAAACCAATATTTCCTTGGAGAAACCAATATTTCCTCGGAGAAACAAATATTTCCTCAGAGAAACCATGATTCCTCGGAGAAACCAATATTTCCTCAGAGAAACCAATATTCTTTCGGAAAAACCAATATTTCCTCACGGAGAAACCAATATTTTCTCGGAGAAACCAATATTTTCTCGGAGAAACCAATATTTTCTCGGAGAAACCAATATTTCCTCAGAGAAACCAAAATTTCCTCATAGAAACCAATATTTCCTTGGAGAAACCAATATTTCCTCGGAGAAACAAATATTTCCTCAGAGAAACCATGATTCCTCGGAGAAACCAATATTTCCTCAGAGAAACCAATATTCTTTCGGAAAAACCAATATTTCCTCAGAGAAGCCAAAATATCCTCGGAGAAACCAATATTTCTTAGAGAAACCAATATTTTTTCGGAAAAACCAATATTTCCTCAGAGAAACCAATATTTTTTCGGAAAGACCAATATTTCCTCAGAGAAACCAATATTTTTTCGGAAAAAACAATATTTCCTCAGAGAAACTATATTTCATCGAAGACAACAGAATTCCTGTTGAAATCCTTTTCTGCATTCTTTATTTTATTTATTATTTATTATCAGCATGTAAATGTTCACAAATAACCTCCTGTCTTATTGGAGTCAAATCCATATTTAATGTCTTGCACTGTCCAAAGGAATATCTATATTGCCCTCCATTTAAAAAGTTTCATGATCGATTCACAACACATTACTGCAAACATTTCCCTTGAAACCTTTATCAGAGTTACAAAAAAGGAAGATTTTGCCATATTAAAATCTGCAAGTTACATTATTGAAAAATCAAACTTGAAAATCAGCAATTCTCAGGTAGAAAAACTCAGATACAGAGGTGGCTTAACTTAGAGGGGAGGGGGGGTATCGGGACTTAAAAAAATGGATTTAACAATGTTTATGCCTGCATGTCATCAGTAAATCATTTAAAATTTTGTTAATTTAAAAATCATTTGTGTTCTAAGTAAAATTTGAGAAGTGTCATCACATTTCCCCTTCCCAACCATGACCGTGTTAGGGTTGAACCAAAACACCTTTATAACTTCCAGGGTTACCCAAAAATGATCAGTCTGTAAAAACTCCCGAATCTGTAAAAATAGAACAGTTAAAGCTTGATTTTTGGTTTCTGCATTCAAGTGACTAATTTGATGGTTTACTAAATGATTAAGACAGTTTTTCCATACAAGTAACCCTAAATGCAAGAAAACGGACTAAAAAAAATCCGAACAATCGTCTCTGAAGTCTCATCCTTTCTGGGTTCTGTATCTGTATGATTTTATAAACTTTCAAAAATTATAAAAACTGAAGACGACGACACTTAAAAGACGACATGACACGACACGACGACACTTAAAACATGCTTTGAACTTTCCCTAAACATACACTATAGATAAATATGTCATTACGGTTTTTAGAGCTCATCTAACAAAAAAGTATGACGTTATTCTATGATGGTAAAGTAAGAGTTTCACGCTAAGTTAAAATATTTCATGAAGAGCTTAAAAAGAAAATCAAGTTTTTCAAAGCTCGCCTGAATTCACTTTGTAATCTTTACTCTAAACAAAATTTACAAATTATTAGTATTTTATATCGTTTACAAACTATTAATCTCAAAATTAAACCTTTTCCAAGGTTCCTTTACCGTAACTGGAGAACAAAACTCTTAACTAACTCTTAAATTCTCAGATTTAAGTAAGATACAACAGATTTTTAAAGTTAAATTCAAGATTTTGATCTGCAGAAATACACAAAACACAAGGAATTTCATTTTAAGGGTCTCTGTATCTTACTCAGTATTAAAATTTTTCAGTTTTTTGAAGTGGTCTAGGTCCTGCAGTTTGCGTAAAGGAAGCTTAAAATAGAATATATTTGAGATGCTGAACAGTTAAAGATATAAAATACATGTATTTATCTATTTTTGTTGTGTTGAGAATAATCCTCAAAATTACAAGTGAATTCAGGCAAGATTTGAAAACTTAATTTTTATTTAGGACAAACATGAAATATTTCCACCTGTTTCTGTAACGCCATAAACTTATTTTTTTTAAATTCAAAACCAAAAACCCTAAATACCCTATAATATTTGACTATAACTTTATAAAGGATATTTCTAACTCTAAGGAAAAACCAATAATTTTATTTTACAAACAAAAAAATCATAATTTCTTATTCTAAATTTCCCGACATGAATTCATGTTTTGAAATAGCAAAAGCTACATTTATAAATTTTTCTCTTTAAGTCACATCATCCTTTTTATCCATATAGATAAATTATACATTGTACAATATAAAGGTACAATTTTCATTACAAAAATAAAAAATCTAAGCATTCTAATTGCATGGTGGGTAGAAAAAATCTAAAGAAACTGAGTTTTTGCAACAAAATCAAACTTTCTCATGCCTTTATTTTTGCAAACTTTGATATTTCAAGCTTAGACACTTTGATCTCACAGAATTCATAGTTTAAAATATCAAGTGTCTACGACATAGGGTTGCACAGATATAGGGATTAGAAAACCAGAGTTTGTGGCAAAAATTCAATTCCTTTGCAAATTTTTATTTCTGCCTTTTAGCCTTGACGTCTTTAGGACGTAGAATCAATCGTCTCCGAGGACTAGCTAAGCTTCGCAGAGTAGTGTTAAGAACGAAACTATCAGAGTGGTTTAAACTTCTCAACCCTGAACCAGGCTTAACAGGTTTAACAATTCTAAAAGGTTCTGTTGGTTCCTCTTGGTTTTCCAGTTCCAATTGTTGTTTTATTTCTGTCTTTGCTCTTGGGGTTTCTGGCTCTTTTAACTTTTCTTCTTCTTCACGTTCCTCGAAAAGTTCTAAAGATTCTTTGAATGCTGCTGGCTCTTCTGTTTCTCTTGGTTCTCCATTTTTTCTTGGATCTCCATGTTCTCCTAATTTTCCTTGATTTTCTCCTGATTCATCTTGTTTTCCTGATGTTTGAAGTTCTACTGGTTCTCTTAGTTCGCCTAGTAGTCTTGGTTCTATAAAAGCTTTCTCGAGTTGTCCAGTTTCTTTGAAATCTTCTTGATCTCCGGGTTCTCTAGGAGTACATAGATCTAAGGAATGTGCAGAATAGTTTAATTCTCTCGTGTTTCGGATTTCAATTTTTTCTTTGTTTTCTGATTCTCTTGGTACTTTTTTCTCAGATTTGTCTGTTTTTCCAGATTCTACCAATGCACTAGTTTCTGTTTCACAGGATTCTACAGGTTTTTTTCCATGTTTATCGGCACACTTTTTACCTTGTTCTTCAGAGTCTTCTGTCTCCCAAAGATCATGATTACCGTTCTGGCTAGTTTTATTATCATACTTTATTTCTCCATGATAATCTTGAGAAGTGTGCAGAGACGGTGCAAATTCATTACAGGAGATAGTAGACGTGTCTGAACAAATATTTGAGAAAAAAATAGAACCCGCCGTGGGTTCGTAACTTAAATCAGTATCAGTATAGGACGTACTAATTGTTCTCAAGCAGGTAGACTGTCCTATACAGGACGATTGACAGTTGAAGGACGGGTTCGCGGAGCAGGACGAATTATCGCTCCAAGTTCTCTCCGACAGGTCCAACATACTCTGACAACTTGATATATTTGTTCTTCTTCTTCGCCTAAATAATAACAATTAAATTCTATAAAATCGAGTCATTATGTATACATATCTAATCTGTACATTAAGTCCTATATACCCGGTATATATATATATATATATACAATGTATATATATGACAAAGCTCTTCGCTCATATACATATATTAGGGTGTATGTATGTGTATATGTTATCTATGGCCTATAGGTTTCCAAACAGACGGACCGAATTGGCTGAATTTTTTTTAGGAAACCCATGGGTACCCGGGGGTGACGAAGGCTAAACAAATTAGAAATTTGTTTTTCTAAAATAAAGCTCTTCTATCATACATATATATATATATATGTTATAGCCGGCCAAACGTCAAATGGGTTGACATTGTTGAGGGAACCCATTCAAAAATTTAATTTTTTTCCAATTTTTTTTATTTTACGAGCAACGCCGGGCACTTCAGCTATTATACAATTAAGTCCTTTATAGTAAAGCCTCATGCAGTTTATAAACAAGGCATATGCCATAGATATTTGATTATGTCCTAATCAATCAAGTACTATTAAATTAAGTCCGAATACATCATATCCTTTTAATAATTAATCAAGACCCTTTAAGTCTTGACTAATCGAGTTCTATGCTTTAAGTCTTCTTAATCAAGTATTATCTTATCAAGTCCAATATGTCAAGTCCGAATACATCATATCCTTTTAATAATTAATCAAGACCCTTTAAGTTCTGATTAATCGAGTTCTATGCTTTAAGTCTCCTTAATCAAGTATTATCTTATCAAGTCCTAATATTTCAAGTCTGAATTTATCCAGTTCGAAGACCGATTGAATCAAATAATTTGGGATCTAGTCATAATTAGTCGAGACCTATGTAATCAAGTTCTAACTTATCCCTTACTGATGATAATAATAATAATCAAGTCTTATCTTAAAAAGTCCTAATATGTCAAGTCTGAATTTATCCAGTTCGAAGACCGATTGAATCAAATAATTTGGGATCTAGTCATAATTAGTCGAGACCTATGTAATCAAGTTCTGATGATAATAATAATAATAATAAAAATTAACTTATTAAGTCGTCTGCTGTTAGGATATTTGTTTACCTATTTTTGATTAGGAATCCTTTATATCTATTTCTCTGGAACAGATTTGCTTCTGTTTTCTCATCTTCAGCTACAATTTCTTCACACTAAACATTATAAAAACATATTAAATAATGCTTGAAACTGCTTTTAATTCAAAATTAATATTTCAGCAGTTTATTTGTAAGGTTCGCTGGGGCAACTTGAACTTCAAAACTTATTGTAAATTGTATTATAAATCTTAGTATTTGTTTTTTTTCAACTGAAACTGTGTACAGCAAAGTCTATTAGAAATCTGAAACAATATTTAGTTGTGCCAACAAAAGAGTTGAGTCATAGCCACAAACTCTGATTTAATAATTCCTATATCTTTGCAATCCAATGTAGTAGACCTGATATATTCCAAACTATGATCAAATAATCTAAGTTTGAAATATCAAAGGTTTACATCATCAGATTGTAAAGATATAGGGATTAGACAATTTGAGTTTGTGACAAAAACTCAGTTCCTTTCTGACAAAAACAAATTGAAAAGATTAAACTTGGATTTTTATATTTAACAGAATTCTTAGTTTGAAATATCAAAGGTCTTCGACATAAGGTTGCAAAGATTTAGGGCTGAATTCCTTTAAAAACAGATTTGAGGATATTAGTTAATATTCAGTTATAACTAGTTATTACATAGGTTTGAATATTACCTGCAAAACATCTAAAGATTTGCAAGGAGTGAGGGAAAGAGCTCTAGGGGTTGAAGGATACCAGATATGTTTCCAGGGACTCCAGGGGGTTTTTAGGGACTCAGAAACAGGTTTCTTCGATAGCATTGACAGATTTTGAAGACTTCCAAACCAACTCTAAAGAAAACCTTTATAATCTCAAAATGAAAAAGATTCAAATTAAAATCATCCAGGTTTTGTATTTGATGAGCCATTGAAAGAATAGAATGAAAGTTTATTCAGTATCCACATCCTAGTTTTGACTTTTTTCATATTTTCATATCTTGTCAAATGTTAACTTTTTTAAATACATACTTTAATTTGTTGCCTAATTAATCTTTATAGTCCCAGTTTAGAAAGCAGTTAATCTTTATAGTCCCAGTTTACAAAATAATTAATCTTTATAGTCCCAGTTTACAAAATGATTAATCTTTATAGTCCCATTTTACAAAATCAAGTATTAACCTTTGATACTGAGTGTTTTAATGAAATATCCTTGTTTTCAGTTATTTCAGTTATTTCAGTGGTTTGTTTACGTCTGAGGTCTCTATCATCCATCTTTTTATCATTTTCTGTGTTCGTTGTCTGTCTTGTTGAGATATGTTCTGTATTCGTTTGCCACACGAAAGTTTTCTCTTCCTTCCTTGTTTGCTCTTTATATTTTTCTTCTTTAGAATTTTCAAAAATTGACATATTTTTTCCTTTTAATAATTGTTCATTATATAATGTTTTTAATTCATTTTCCTCATTTTCTGCTTCCTGTTTATTTTCATTTTGACTTATTACTTCACATTCGGGCTTTTTTGTGTTCTTAATCAATTCATTGTTTGATAATTCGATCACTCCGTTAGAATACTCCTTTACCATATCTTTTTCATTGTTTGATAATTCGATCACTCCGTTAGAATACTTCGTTACCATATCTTCTTCATTGTTTGATAATTCGATCACTCCATTAGAACACTTCTTTACCATATCTTCTTCATTGTTTGATAATTCGGTCACTTCATTAGAACACTCCTTTACCATATCTTCTTCATTGTTTGATAATTCGATCACTCCATTAGAATACTGCTTTACCATATCTTCTTCATTGTTTAATAATTCGATCACTCCATAAGAACACTCCTTTACCATATCTTCTTCATTCTTTGATAATTCGATCACTCCATTAGAATACTCCTTTACCATTTCATCTTTTCTTTTTGGCAGTTTAATCTTACTGTTATCTTTTCTATTTCCCTCCTCTATATTTTCTTTTTCCTCCTCTTCTCCGTTCTTCAATACTTTCCAAACTGTGGTTTCCTTTTCCTGTTTATTTTCTTTCTCCAGGAGCACTTTCCGTCTACTCTCAACTTTATCCATCCCAACCTCTTCATCTAGAAGAAAAAAAATGTAAAATCATTGCCACCGCCCCCCCCCCCCCTGCGGCGACAATAATATTTTAGAGCAAATATACAAGGTTACCCAAAAAGCATGAGACTTAAATGGCGAATTATGTTTTTTTTTTATTTTAACTATACATAGTCTTTTAGTGGAAAGGAATTGAGTTTTTGCCGCAAACTCTGATTTTATAACCCCAAAATCTTTGCGACCCGATGTCGTAGATCTTATATATTTCAAACTATGAATTCTGTTTAATTGTGAACTGTCATATTATCTTTCCAACATCTTTCCCATATTCACAACATCAGATTATTAAATGCATTTCTTAGTTTACAGGGTGTCCCAGAATACATGATCCTGCAACATTTTAGAAAATAAAAGTCAAAGTATAAAACATAATGAAATAATAATACAGGGTTACCCACGTAGGATAAAACTTTAACCAAAACTTATTAAATATAAAGATCCACAAATGTTATTTTAGTGTTGTGCTATAAATAATTAGTCTTTTAATTACCAACTAAATGATTTGTCAATAAAAAAATAAGTTTACAGCTGAAGGGAAGCTGGGCTGAAATGTAAGATAAAAGATCGAATAAATTCCGAACAATCGTCTCTGAAGTCTCATTTCAGTGGGTAAACATGTACGCAGCAATCTTTAAAGTACAATAATATAATGTTTCCTATGAAACTATTAAATGCAAAGATGACTTTTGCACTTAATAAATGACTCAAAATCAACCTCAAAATAATCCCATGAATGAGACAACTGTGTAGTGTGTATTTGCTTTCAATATCCTTAAAAATTCTCCAATGTCGACTTCCTATTCCACAGATTTAAGGGGCTCTCTATATCTTTCATACAGAATCTAATTTTTTCTTTGAGACACCCTGTAAGCAAGAAATGGGCGGGGAATAGCGGTGAGTAGGGCGGGCCTGGTACAAGATACATACAGCAGGGTGAACTCAAGCGTAACTAAAGATATACGATGTTAATTCTATTTAATTTTCTGGTTAAAGATCCGTAGATTGTCAACAACTCGTCATACTACTCAGTCCCACCACAAACCATATATTTTACAAATCAAATGTAATTAAACAATTGTTCATAATTTAGAATGATGGAGGGTGGAAACATAATCTCCTGTTTTGAAAATCATAAAATTCCCTTCAGGGACAGTTTTTTTTATAGATAAACATCAATAAAATAGGATAAATGGAATCCCCCCCATCACTAAAAAAAATAGGAATCCAATTCTTACCGGTAGAGAAGAAAGGATTCACTCCAAACCCGTTAAACAATATGTCCTCTTCAGAATCAAAAATCTCGCCAACTAAAAATGATAATTCCCATTAGTCTGCATTAAAGATTATCATTAATTGGATTTATATTAAACTTTTATGCACAAAATTTGTGTAATGTTCCAGATAAAAAAAAAAATAGAATTAAATGACTCAATTAAAACTCAAATGCAAAAACACAGGAGAACGGTAAAGTATAATTACTAATAAGCTTTATAATTTGTAATATTATCCAATAATAAATTGATAAGTAAATGAGGAGATAATACACAAAATACAAATATACTTCGAACCTGTCCTTAGGGCCGAATTATTGTTATAATCCTGCCAAGAACCTGATTCTTCAGACTCAGATAGAGTGTAATAACTGGATCCAGACATATCATCACTATCATCATCATCATCATCATCCTCCTCATTTTCATCATTAACATATTCGTCATCATCATCGTTATCAGAAACGTACTCATCTCTATCAATATGCTCATCAAGATTATCTTTAGGTATTTGAGTAGGTTTGCTTGGAAGAAGATCAATAGGCTGACTGGATTGTAAATGATTCAATTGTTTAATAGACAAATCATCCAGGTGTTTAGTAGATGGTTGATTGATTAATTCTTTACTTGATGGTTCTAGAGAATTGTTAACTTTTTCAAGAAGAAGATGGTTGGACAATTGTTTATTTTGATCTGTTACTACTTGGTTGCTTGGTTTCAACTTGGAGTTATTTGTTGGTAAGACAGCAGAAGGATTGAGTAACTGGTTGGCTGGATTGTTCGGGTGTACATTGGCAGGATTGTTAAGGTGTACAACAGAAGGATTAGTTAACTGGTTGGATGGATTGTCTAACTGTACAGCAGAAGGATTAGTTAACTGGTTGGATGGATTGTTTGTGTGTACAGCAGAAGGATTGTTAAGGTGTACAGCAGAAGGATTAGTTAACTGGTTGGTCAGATTGTTCAACTGTACAGCAGAAGGATTAGTTAACTGGTTGGTCAGATTGTTTAACTGTACAGTGGAAGGATTGGATAACAGGTTGGCTGGATTGTTTAACTGTACAGCAGAAGGATTAGTTAACTGGTTGGTCAGATTGTTCAACTGTACAGCAGAAGGATTAGTTAACTGGTTGGTCAGATTGTTTAACTGTACAGTGGAAGGATTGGATAACAGGTTGGCTGGATTGTTTAACTGTACAGCAGAAGGATTAGTTAACTGGTTGGTCAGATTGTTTAACTGTACAGCGGAAGGATTAGTTAACTGGTTGGTCAGATTGTTTAACTGTACAGCAGAAGGATTGGATAACAGGTTGGCTGGATTGTTTAACTGTACAGCAGAAGGCTTAGTTAACTGGTTTGTCAGATTGTATAACTGTACAGAAGAAGGATTGGATAACAGGTTGGTCAGATTGTTTAACTGTACAGCGGAAGGATTAGTTAACTGGTTGGCTGGATTGTTTAACTGTACATCAGAAGGATTGGATAACAGGTTGGTCAGATTGTTTAACTGTACATCAGAAGGATTGGATAACAGGTTGGGATTATTACTATTTTGAACGACAATATTGTTTATGGTTGACTTCGTTGGTAATTCTTTGTTGACCCAAAATTGAGGTAGACTTGAAGGTTGTGTTTCCAGGTAGTTTTTAGGAAAATAGGTTGACTTGTTGTGTAGTGGAGTTGATGTTTGGTTGATATTAGATTGATAAATACTTGAATACAAATGCTTTATGATTAATCTTTGCTTTTCAATCAACCGCTGCTGTCGATTTATCACCTTAAAAATAATTGTATCTTAATATTCAGAAAATTGTTAAAGTTTTGTATAATATTAACAGATTTAAATTTAATTACTTAAAATAAAACCTCAATTAAATACAAAAACCATTTATCCTGTTAAAGGGAATTCCCAATTCACAATGATACCCTTGAATTAAACTTTTATCTGATCAATAGTCTGATTCAGTAGAAGTAAATATTTCCATTTACTGCTAATTGGATAATGAGCTAGATAGAAAGATAGACGTTACCCCCTTTCCTATTGGTTCAGAATAAACAGCAAACACATGACTGAACCCTGATTGGATCTAATGGACTCGGCATACAGGAGTGATAATGTGGAAGATTTTGTTAACAAGTATTTAATCCTTTTAATTATAGAGAAAGAAGATTAGAAGTATTTAATCCTTAATTCTTGAAGTTTGCAGTCGCTATTATAAAGAAACCACAATTGAAAATAATCAGTTTTCAAAATTATAAACATTAATATCTAATTCAAATACTTGATCAGACAAAGCTAGATACCGCCGTTAATCAGGCATTGCCATTTTTATACAGAGGGGCACTTGTAATTACGCTTACAGACCCTTTACTCTGAAATAACTTTTCATATTTTATAGTTTTTTTGGGTTAGAAAATACCTTGGAAAGAAGTTTTTGTTTTCTTTGTAGTCTGATCTTTAAACTCTCTATCTGTTTATCTATCTGATACAACATCAGGTTTTCATCAAACCTTTTATTCCCAATCATATTATCTGATAGAACAAGCACCTAAATACATTTTAAAGTCCTTAAAATTTAATAACTATCCATTTAATATTACTCCGAAATTAGAATATACAAGACACTCAGATAAAGTTCGTCTAAAGATTTTTCTCGACTTTTAAGTGTCGCAACACTTTCTAGTTTAAGTGTAAAAGGAGTAATTGGCAAAATCTGCTATCTTTGCCTGAGAGCGTCTTTGGTCTTTATTAAAGCTTATTTCAGAATAGACAGAAGAGTTTTTTTTTACATTTGTATTAGCCAATTACAATACAATTGTATAACTTAGAATAATTAGAAATAGGAACCAAAAAGGTCCGGTTGCATAACATCAATATTTAGGAATAGGAACCAAAAAGTTCCTGTTCCATAACATTAATATTTAGGAATAGGAACCAAAAAGTTCCTGTTGCATAACATTAATATTTAGGAATAGGAACCAAAAAGGTCCTGTTGCATAACATCAATATTTAGGAATAGGAACCAAAAAGGTCCTGTTGCAAAACATCAATATTTAGGAATAGGAACCAAAAAGGTCCTGTTGCATAACATCAATATTTAGGAATATGACCTAAAAAGGTCCTGTTGCATAACATTAATATTTAGGAATAGGAACCAAAAAGGTCCTGTTGCATAACATCAATATCTAGGAATAGGAACCAAAAAGGTCCTGTTCCATAACATTAATATTTAGGAATATGACCTAAAAAGGTCCTGTTGCATAACATTAATATTTAGGAATAGGAACCAAAAAGGTCCTGTTGCATAACATCAATATTTAGGAATTGGAACCAAAAAGTTCCTGTTGCATAACATCAATATTTAGGAATAGGAACCAAAAAGGTCTTGTTGCATAACATCAATATTTAGGAAATATTTTAGTTTGTCGGGTAAGCAGTTACGAACGGTTCTTTCAAAATGAGAAATGCATGTTTTTCAATCATGTTTTGTTTCAGATTGACAAACCGAAAAACTTAATTTTGGACGAATACACCGCTGATGAAATCCCTTAATTGTCATGTAACACCCGTCTATATAAGTTTTATCACTCCCGGAGTACTCATAGGTTCCCTCAAAAAATGTCAACCAATTTGGTCCAGACGTTTGGCCAGCTGTGAGGAACAAACATATTTATATACAGTGGTAGGCGATTATATCAGAAAAATCAAAACGAATTTTGATTAAACAGCATGGATACACATTAACATACAAGTCAAGAGAAGCTTTCAATTAAAAAGCTTCTCTTTTATTACTTTTAAACTTGTAATTCGAAAAAAGCTTGTTAATTAAATTAAAAGTCGTCTTCATTGCATTGATATAATCGCCTATCCTTTATTTAAACTAAGAGAGCTTTATTATATAGATTGTCCAGTTGAACTCCGTAATATATATGTGAACTACGGCACAACACAACACAAACTGACCAGAGCTCAGAGCTCCTTGTGATTTCCCGTTTAATCATCCATGCTACAGATCCATATGGTACATCTGTAGGATTTATCCTTATATCCAAATATCCATTTATTCCTTTATCCATTTATTTATTTATATATTTATCCTATTTATCCATTTATCCTTTGATTGATCCATCTATCCTTTTATCCATTTATCTTTTTATCCATCTATCCTTTTATTCATTTATCCTTATGTCCATTTATCCACTTATCCATCCTTCCATTTATCTTTTTATTCATTTATCCTTATATCCATTTTTCCATCCATCATTTTATCCTTTTATCCTTTTATTCATTTATACTTCTTTTATTCATTTATCTTTTTATCCATTTCTCCTTTTTTCATTTATACTTTTATCCATTTATCCTTTATCCATTTTTCCTTTTATCCATTTATTCTTTATCCATTTATTCTTTTATCCATTTATTCTTTTATCCATTTATTCTTTTATCCATTTATTCTTTTATACATTTATCCTTTTGCCCATTTCTCTTACCATTTATCCTTTTATTCATTTATCCTTATATCCATTTATCCATTCATCCTTTTAGCCTATTATTCATTAATACTTTTATCCATTTATCCCTCTATCCATTTATCCTCATATCCGTGTATTCTTAAACTATGAAGATATTCATCTATGAGTGTATACTTTTTCTATTTACATTTATGTTGAGACCTTATAAATTCTGGAGCTCATTTTTGATCATATATTCTTATATTTATTTATCCTTTTTCTATCTATGCGTGTTTTATCTATCCGTGTATTTTTATTAAATTTACATTCATATCCATATTTCCGTGTTCTATTTAATCTGAAAACTATATACCCTTATTCTGTTTTATTCTTACATTTTTGTGTCTTTATACTATATTATTCTTAAAGTCATATATTCTTATTTTATTTGTTTTCTTATTCTTAGAATTTTATATTCTGCTTCCTTCTAATTCTCTAAATCACATTATAAACCTCCTTGAACCCCCTTCCTCCCTTTCCCCCTTTAAAACCTCCCAAAACCAGACACATCCCTCTCTCTCACCTCATTAAATACATCTTACCCTCCCCCTCAAGTCCAAGACAACTCTAGAAGCTCCTAAACCTCCTTATCTTCTAGAACTTTATAAAACCTCCTTGTAACCTCCTTCCTCCCTATAACCTTATTAACCTTCCTAGAATTAAACCTTTCTTGCTTCCTAGAAACTCCGTAACCTCTTAAAAATATTCTTCCCCTTCTGACTAGACCTTTTCACTTCCTGACTATACCTTTTCACTTCCTGACTAGACCTTTTCACCTCCTGACTAGACCTTTTCACCTCCTGACTAGACCTTTTCACCTCCTGACTAGACCTTTTCACCCCCTGGAATAGACCTTTTCACCTCCTGGAATAGTCCTTTTCACCTCCTGACTAGACCTTTTCACCTCCTGACTAGACCTTTTCACCCCCTGGAATAGACCTTTTCACCCCCTGGCTAGACCTTTTCACCTCCTGACTAGACCTTTTCACCTCATGACTAGGCCTTTTAATCTTCTGACTAGACCTTTTTACCTCCTGACTAGACATTTTTACCTCCTGACTAGACCTTTTCACCTCCTGACTAGACCTTTTCACCTCCTGACTAGACCTTTTCACCTCCTGACTAGACCTTTTCACCTCCTGACTAGACCTTTTCACCTCCTAACTAGACCTTTTCACCTCCTGACTAGACCTCTTCACCTCCTGACTAGACCTTTTCACCTCCTGACTAGACCTCTTCATCTCCTGATTAGACCTTTTCACCTCCTGACTAGACCTTTTCATCTCCTGACTAGACCTCTTCACCTCCTGAATAGACCTTTTCACCTCCTGACTAGACCTTTTCACCTCCTGACTAGACCTCTTCACCTCCTGACTAGACCTTTTCACCTCCTGACTAGACCTTTTCACCTCCTGACTAGACCTTTTCACCTCCTGACTAGACCTCTTCACCTCCTGACTAGACCTTTTCACCTCCTGACTAGACCTCTTCACCTCCTGACTAGACCTTTTCACCTCTTATAACTTTATAAAAGAGAAATTTCCTTGATATGCAGACAGATAGATTACAGGAGTAAACTTTATAGATTAACATGAATTTCCAACTAAATTACAGACTATAAACTTTTATTTCCAAACAATTAATGACAAATCTAAATAAAAAGTTGTTAAGATCATCAAATAAGCATTATTCACTGACTGAAAGTAAATGATAGAGCTATGAACGAAACAGAAACAAGTGATACAGAGACAGATCAAAGAAACAATCGATACAAATACAAGAGATACATAGACAAGGGATTCATAGACAAGAGTACAGAGCCAAAAGATACAGAGACAAGTGATACAGAGTCAAAGGATAAAACAGGGTATAACATGTCAAGGGATACAGATACAAGAATACAGAGACAAGAGATACATAGATAATTAATACAGAGACAAGGGATAGATAGACAAGGGATACAGAGACAAGAGATACAGAGACAAGGGATACAGAGACAAGAGATACAGAGACAAGGGATACAGAGTCAAAAGATACAACAGGGTATAAAATGTCAAGGGATACAGATACAAGAATACAGAGATAAGTAATACAGAGACAAGGGATAAAGAGACAAGGAATACAGAGACAAGGGATACAGATACGAGGGATACAGAGACATGAGAAACAGAGCCATGAGATAAAGAGACAATGGATACAGAGACAAGGGATACAGAGATAAGGAATACAGTGACAAGGAATGCAGAGACAAGGAATACAGAGACAAGGGATACAGAGACAAAGGATTCAGAGACGAGGGATACAGAGACAAGGAATACAGAGACAAGGAATACAGAGACAAGGGATACGAGACAAGGGATTCAGAGACGAAGAGACAAGGAATACAGAGACAAGGGATACAGAGACAAGGGATACAGAGATGAGGGATACAGAAACAAGGGATACAGATGACATTATGACAAATTGAGTTATTACCTGTGAAATTATAATGTTTGATTATTCTCACATATTTCATGGTTCCTAGTTTATATAATTAAACATTGCCAATACCTCCCTTTACATCTACTTTCTTCATTCTTCAAGTATTAAACCTGTTTAGTGTTCACCTTATACCTACACCCCCCCCCC